ACTGAGCCAAATCAGACCCTCGGGACCCATCAGGGACTGTCTATAGGTAAACACAGCCTATTGGAGGTTTTGTGGTTAGGTTTCATATGCAAACCTTCTTTGTGGGGTTCCAGATTTGCCCTGTATAGATATAAAGGGCCACAGACTTCATCCATCAATTGGAAAATGATGATCCATGTACTCCTTCAACTCACGTAGAGCAACTCGTGAAGTACAACTGTTGAAACAGAGTCCTATAATTATAGAATGTTTTTTGTTGGAAAGGACCTCAAAGCCCATCTCATCCCAACCCCCCTGCCATGGCAGGGACACCTCCCACCAGCCCAGGCTGCCCCCAGTCCCATCCAGCCTGGCCGTGGGCACCCCCAGGGATGGCTGGGCCCAAAAAGTCGTGGTGAATGGCATCAAATCCAGCTGGAGGTCAGTCATTAGTGAGCCCAGGGCTCAATAATGGGGCCAGTTCTCATCACCTGTGGCTAAGGGAACTGGGGTTGTTTAGTCTGGAGAAGAGGAGGTTCAGGGAAGACCTTATTGCACTCTACAGTTACCTTAAAAAAGGCTATAGTGAGCTGGGGATCGAGCTCTTCTCCCAAACTCCAAGTAATATGATGAGGGGAAATATCCTCAGGCTGCACCAAGGGGAGGTTTAGGTTGGGTATTAGGAGTAATTTCTTTACTGAAAGGGTTGTGTGGCATTGGAATAGGCTGTCCAGGCTTCCCTAACTTTTGTGTCACCATCCCAGCACGTTTTCAAGAAATGCATAGATTTGGAACTTAGTAGCATGGTTCAGTGTTGAACATCAGGACTAGGTTAAAGGTTGGACTAGATGATCTTAGAGTTTTTTTTCCAACCTGAATGATTTTATGATTCTATGATTCTACAATCCACACCTTCTCTGGATAGCTTGTTCCAGTGTCTCACCACTCTCAGATTAAAGAATTTCCTCATAAAACCTAATCTAAATCTTCCTGTTTTAGCTTACTCCTTGTCCTAACGCTACGCTTGCTGACAGAGACCCTCCCCAGCTTCCCTACAGCCCCCTTTAGGTACTGAAGGTACCTAAATCCAAAGGACGCCCTGAACAAATAAAACACTGAGGTTCCCCTCTCTGGTGTCCCACGACACCAACCCAGCACTGGCCAACAAGAAAAAACAAAGCAGACCTTAGAGCCACATATAAAATATATGGAAATGGTTTCTGCCTTCAAACCAGTGCCACCACAAGCACTCCTTTTGCTGGAAAGGTGAGAGAAGATTTGGGCCACAGGCCCCTTCTCTTGAAGTGTCACATGGAGCTAAAAGGACCGGGCGTTGCTTCCTCCGTTAAAGATATCTGCATAGACATGCTCAAATATCTTATCCACCCCTTCCCCTTGTCGCTAAAGGGCCCCGAGTCTTCCCTCAGCACCACAACCTTTCAAAACACTTTTCTTATCACAATTTGCCTGCGGGAACAGGCCCATCTGCACATCCACATCTTTGGGGTTTTGCCATCTTTTGTGCAAACTTCCAAATTCCTACGAGTCTCACCAAAATCAGCAGCCAAGGAGAGTCTGTTAAGTGTCTCGGCCCCAAAATCCCAACCGCAGGAAAAATCTGCGTGTAGGTCTCAGAGAAACCAGACAGAAGGAAAAACTCAACAGGAAAGGCAACATCACTTGGGACACCATGCAGGGGAAATATCCCTTATTAAACTCCAGATGAATTAGGCACCATTTGCACAGTTAAATCCCGCAATGTGGAAGGCACATGTGAGAGAAAATGCCTCGAGATTTAAAGAAATCCTCTAAACAAGATGTTACTAAATAAACGTAATTAAGCCTGATCAGAAGGAATAGAGACCTCCTCCATGCCTGACCCTTAGAAATAATACAGAACACATTTCCCTGGCTGTAGCTGCCTGCTCCGCAGGAGGCTCAGGGAAATACCCTGCTGGATATATTCCCTCGCTATCATGATACCATGTCAATATGGGATTGGAAAAGCTGGGCCGGAGTCTCTGATGTCCTGGTCACACATCCCCTTTCAATTACTGGCACCATTTGGTAGCCCCGTCCGCTGTCACGTCAGACATCCGGATGCACGGCAGATGTTGGAGCTGCAAACACGGCAGTGCACGTGTCCCAGGACTACGTTGGGACAGCTCTGTGGGGATAGAAGATGGTGTTTCCTCATGCATGGCAGTGGTTTTGTGCTTCTTGGTGCCATGCCCTCTGTTGGGGATGTCTGATTTAATGTAGTCGCACAGTTATCACCAGCTGAGGATGTGGTTATGGTATGTACCCCCTCTGTTCAGCCAGCCTTTTGCAAGGCAACACGCACTCACTTGGTAGAAACAGATCTTCACTGACCCAGGCACAAATGTTTGTCCTAATCTTGCAAGATGCTTCAAGTCTAGGAAGTTGTTGTCTTCCAGTTCCCAGTGGTCACCGTCCACGAAGCTCGACAGGTCCTGAAAAATGACAGCAGCTGGCACAGTAGATAAGTAGGAAGCAAATATTCAGGAGATCTTGGCTCATCTTGGAAGTAGAATCATGAGTTCATTGAACACAAAGAAGCAACTTCTAAATTTCTCCAGAAAGACACGGACCAGCTACCAAGAATTCTCAGGTTAGACCTCCTACAAATTTCAGTGAGAGGTCTGATGGCTTGACCTTATTCTTCAAGATCTCAAAATGAATGGGGGCTGAAGATCCCATACCCATCACGAGCAGATGCTGGAAGGATTGAATGATACTGATCACTCAGAAATGGACCTGTCAGCTTAAAATTATCAGCAGTCCAAGGCTGGAAGGCAGCAGGATGCACTGCCAAGTTACCTCAGACACAAACCGTGTGTAGCTTGATGATATTTTAAATTATTTAGAGCTGACTTCTTAAAAATTCTGTGTCTCAGCTGAATTTAGGTAAGTTTTTGCAGTTCCAGCAGTTTTGAGAATAGGTGTAGAAGAAATGAGAACCTTTTTCATCTCAGAGTTGGGGGGAATACCTAAGGAATCCTCCATCCTTTGGCAGTGTTGCATTGGAAGTCACTGGGCTAAAAAAAAACCATATATTTGGACATGTTTTGGAGCATCACTCCCAGACCTTTTGGCACTTTGGTGCTAACACCCTTCGCAGGAGGAAAGCTTACAAAGGATTTTCTTCCCATGCTGTACCAAAGGCAGATTTTGTGCGGTCTGCACTAAGCTCTTGCAGCTGTATTTGCAGGGTGGCTTCCAGATGGGGTCATGAGGCTGGAAGCAGAAATGGATGTGGGGTTGCAAACCTAAAAGTGCTATCTTATAGGGAAAAGGGTGGCCAGCAGCAGTGTACAAAGGCCTTGCAGGAGTGAGAGCACATATAGGGCACTGCTGTGCGTCTAGAATAAGTCCCTTTTATTCTAGAAAGCAAGCAAAAACCTACTTAAAAATCAACATTTTTACTTTTTTTTTTTTTAATTATTTTTTTCCCCAGATGTCTGCCTACAATTTACAAGCCAAGAAAAGCAAAAGCTTTTCAATGCATCCCGAGAGCAACTCCGACACTCACACCTCTGCAAAGTGAGCAAAGAGGAGCCTTTATGCTCAGCCAGCCGAGGTGTAATTAGTGAAAGAATGCCCACGTGTCTGGATAACCAGGCTAGGTAGCTCTGCTCAGCATTTTTCGCTTTTCCAGGAGCAAAAGGGAGCCCCAAAGCAGAGCAGATTCTTGTCAATGCTGTATTCACTCAAGATGTCTCTCAGGAGGAGGAAATCCTCACCTTTCACCCAGGCTGGCATTTTTCTTTCACACTTGCACATACACACAAGTAACCCAACCATCCTGCAGAAGCAATTAAAGGTAACTTGAAGGGATTGATCTACAGATATTTCCCTTTGCAAGGAGGGCTATGAGTCAGTTATCAAGGGGGTAGGCAGATACTGCACTCCTGTACCCACGAGTGAAGAGCTTGCCAGGATACTGGCACATCTACATCATCAAGAAAATAAAGTATCAAAAGCAAAGGTAGTGATGCCCTAGCACATGGACTAATGAGGACTCAGCCTGAGAGGACCCCAAACCCATCAGCCAAATGAATGCTCCCTCGGTCCTGCACGTGGTCAAATCCCACTTTATTCTGGATCACATTGTCAGAACTAGGAAAAGTTGAGAAGAAAAGGAATAGAGGGCTTCTTGCCATCCTGTCTACATTTCTTGAAGAGCTAAAGGATGTCTTCTGTCATCAGCCCTTCCTGGGGTCACCACGAGGCTCTTAGCACCACAGAAAGAAGCCTTGTGTCCACATTAGGGAATTAAATGGACAATACAGAGATGTAAAGGAGGATAACAGCCATTTATGACATGAAATCCCACCAAGCTAAGACTGTTAATTTAGAAAAGAAAGAAATGGGGTCAGGATGAGACTTGCAGCCCCTGTGCTCCCACAGCCTCGGTGCCAGTCACCTAACACAACCCTGCTCCAGGATCCCAGCTGCAAGCCAGGCGCAGCTCTCGGCAGCACATAGGTTGCAATTCTGACTTACACAAAGAGAAAGGATAAGCAGCGATCGTTAAAAATAATTAAAGTCAATCTAATACATGAGATTTCAAGCCTCCACTTCACATTTTATCTCCTCTGTATATATAACACCGCAGGATTAGATCTAATGCTAAGGGGGCAAGTTATCCCAAAACGTGCATCATAACCAGCACTTATCTCCCGAAACCAAGCTTCCCAAAGAATATTTATTGGACCTCATGGCTCTCCCCATTTTTCCCCTTTTCCAAATATGCTTTGCCAAAGCAGGATTTTCCAAATGGCCAATTCATTAGGTCACAGCATCAAACTCCAGCACGGAGGCAATGACGAGATACAGAATACCCCTCACTTTCCCCCTTTGCGATATTTTTGCAGTAATCTGAACCACAAGGAGAGCCACATTACCTCACCTCCTCGCTTTATTGTTCCGGGGAACATCTCCAGAGTGCTTGGGCTGTGACCCACGGTGACTGCAATATATCCTCCATTTTCACTTACCTTGTCAATAAGAGGTAAATTGAAAGGGGAGCATCTGAGATTCGGCACCGTGCACCTGTAATGCATTTCAGGCTGCTTCTTCCTCCGAAGCCTCACCAAAGACGGAGACAGAGCTTGAACAGGGAAGAAGAAAACTCCAGCCTCTCTGGAGGACACAGTGCAAATCCTGCAGAGTCTGGGAAAACTAAGATAGCTGAGAGTCAACCCCGCGACTCTTGTTCTGCCAGAGAGCTGCAGCTGGTGCCAGTGAAATATTTATGCAAAGACAGCAGATGTTGCGAGCAAAGTATGAAGAAAAAGATGAGAGCTGCAGCACTAGGTCGGGGCATCCAGTGCAATGTGTGCTTCCTACAGTGCCCAACATCAAATGGTAAAGAAGGATGCAAGAACAGAACAAGCCCATGGAGACATCTCCACCTTTGCAGTCTCCAGACATCTGAGGTTTAGGGATTTCTGCCACGCAGATTGCATCCTGGAAATGCCCTTGCATTCAGAACCCTGCATGAACTTTTCTTGCTTGCTTTGGAAAGCATTTAAGGTTTTTAGCTTTCACAGTGTCCCGTGGCAATGAGTTCCACAGTTTTACTGCATGCTCCATGTCAAGGCTTTTGACACGGTTTCCCATAGGATCCTACTGGACAAAATGTCCAGCATACAGCTAAATAAAAACATCATACGATGGGTGAGCAATTGGCTAACGGGCAGGGCCCAAAGGGTTATGGTGAATGGGGCTGCGTCAGGCTGGCGGGCGGTCACTAGTGGGGTCCCTCAAGGCTCCATTTTAGGGCCGGTAATTTTCAATATTTTTATAAACGATCTGGATGTAGGAATAGAAGGTATTTTGAGCAAGTTTGCTGATGACACCAAGCTTGGAGGAGTTGTGGACTCGAATGAGGGTGGAAAGGCCTTGCAGAGGGATCTGGATAGGTTGGAGAGCTGGGCAATCGCCAACCGCATGAAGTTCAATAAGAGCAAGTGCCGGGTCCTGCACCTGGGACGGGGAAACCCTGGCTGCACGTACAGACTGGGCGATGAGACGCTGGAGAGCAGCCTAGAAGAGAGGGATCTGGGGGTCGTGGTAGACAGCAAGTTGAATATGAGCCAGCAGTGTGCCCTGGCAGCCAGGAGGGCCAACCGTGTCCTGGGGTGCATCAAGCACGGCATCGCTAGTAGGTCAAGGGAGGTGATTGTCCCGCTCTACTCTGCGCTGGTGCGGCCTCACCTCGAGTACTGTGTGCAGTTCTGGGCACGACAGTATAAAAAGGACATGAAACTGTTGGAGAGTGTCCAGAGGAGGGCTACGAAGATGGTGAAAGGCCTGGAGGGGAAGACGTACAAGGAACGGCTGAGGGCACTGGGCCTGTTCAGCCTGGAGAAGAGGAGGCTGAGGGGAGACCTCATCGCAGTCTACAACTTCCTCGTAAGGGGGTGTCGAGAGGCAGGAGACCTTTTCTCCATTAACACCAGCGACAGGACCCGCGGGAACGGGGTTAAGCTGAGGCAGGGGAAGTTTAGGCTTGACATAAGGAGGGGGTTCTTCACAGAGAGAGTGGTTGCACACTGGAACAGGCTCCCCAGGGAAGTGGTCACTGCACCGAACCTGACTGAATTTAAGAAGAGATTGGACTGTGCACTTAGTCACATGGTCTGAACTTGGGTAGACCTGTGCGGTGTCAAGAGTTGGACTTGATGATCCTTAAGGGTCCCTTCCAACTCAGGATATTCTATGATTCTATGATTCTATGAATATTATGTCACAGAATCATAAAATCCCAGAATGGTTTGGGTTGGAAGGGACCTTAAAGACCATAGCACTCCAACACCCCTGCCATGGGCAGGGACACCTCCCACCAGAGCAGGTTGCTCCAAGCCCCATCCAGCCTGGCCTTTCATCAGCTTTCAACCCCTTGTTTCACTTGTTGCCACTCAATTTTTGAACAACAACAAAAAAATAGTTTTTAACATCTGAGAGAAATGTTGCCTGTTCCTCCCATATCAACGCTGCCATTTTTAAGGCCTAGGAACATTTGCCTGTGCTGGTGCCCTGGAGGAGGTGGGCCTAGCTGCCTCCCATGTGGGTCAGATGATGGCTAAGGCCTGAATCTTCAATTTTTGGGTGCATGATGAGAGGAAACGAAGTATCCTGTGCCAGGAGTAAGCACAGCCCTGCCGAGAAACCCCCAGCGACGTTCCCATTGCCTTCAAATCAATCTCCCATTTCTCCACCCCTCGTCTGGAGGCAACCAGGGGCCATCCATAATCCATCCAGCACAAAACGCCCACCATAACTGCCCTGTCAGGAAATAAATCTCAAAATTGTTCATTTTAGTAAAAAAATAAAAGCAGGAGGGAGCTGCTGTACTGCTGGCTGAAGGGTTAATCGTGGTGCTACCCAGAGACAGCTCCTTTCCGAGCTCATCTCCCAGCTGCTGGGCTCTGGCCTGCTTAATGAAGACGGATTGCCTCGAGGAGGCCACTTCTGTCTAGACTGCCCGTGGCCCCTTTTATTACCCCCACCCACGCAAGTGAACTCAGGATCCAGGCACGGCGAAATTCCAGGCAACAGAGCAGCAAGTGAATAAATCGAGTTTGCTCGGAGCAAACCGAGCCAGGTTTTCCCCAGCTCTTTCTCTCGGGGGTGGATTCTCTGGGGGCTAATAAGGGCTGAGCCACCGACATCATTTTGTCAATGGGGGCCTGGAGAACGTTTCATTTCTTTGCCTTGACCTGTATTCGTGAAGTTTGCAGTAGCCTACTCCCTCCAAGACCTCTTGATTTTATTTATGACAGCACTGGGAAACTCGTGTCCTTGTGCTGCAACAGCTTGGCCAGGATATTGCAGCCCCTGACGTGCAGCTTGTGCCCACCAGCCTGTGGAAGGGCTAAAACTGTGCAGCATCTCTTGATGTGAGCACCATGGAGTGCAGGGCATCTGCCTCACAGCCCCTCCATGAGACAATGATTTCCACATGGATGCATGGACAACATCAGATTATTGATGGGCTGGTCAAGTACAGAAAGCCTGCAGGCCATGCATATGCTATTGAAAATGTGGAATAAGGGAATGTCATAGGATGATAGAATGATTTGGAAGGGACCTCAAAGCCCATCTAATTCCAGCCCCTGCCATGGCAGGGACACCTCCCACCAGCCCAGGCTGCCCCCAGCCCCATCCAGCCTGGCCTTGGGCACCCCCAGGGATGGGGCAGCCACAGCTCCTCTGGGCAGCCTGTTCCACTACCACTCTCTGCATGAAGAATTTCTTCCTAATATCTAATCTAAATCTAGCCTCTCATAGTTTAAAACCATCACTCCTTGTCCTATCACTACACTCCCTGATAAAGGGTATTCCAACCCGGAGGCCAAGAGCTGCAATAAAGTTTTGTGTCCACAGAGCTGAACTATCTTAATCCCTCCATCCCCAAACAGGAGTCGTATTGACACTGCCTGGCCTTTGTTCCATGTTAGGCTGTGCATTATTTGGGCCTGTAATAGGTCCCTTAGGCTAAATTTATGCCAGGGGCTGTGCTGAGAGGAACAAATTGTCTATCCACCCACCTAGGAACCCCAGCCCTGTGCCATGATGTCCCACAGATCCCAACAGGAGCAAACAGAAGTCACAGGTGGAGCAATTAAGAGAGTAGACCTAAACACCACGTCTGTTCTCTAAACACACTCTTGGAGCCAGTAAAAGCAGAGAAGGGGGAGGAAGACCAATATATAGGAATGGATGGGTAAGAATAAGACATGGATATATTTCAAATGGTAAAAATTTAGGATAGTAGAAGCTTTCCAGCCCTCTCAGCTGGGATCTTGGGACAACTTCCCAATACCTTGCTGGAGCTCATGTCAGCTTACTCAGGGAGTGGCATGGTTTTAAAGTCCTTTATTAGACCACGAAGCTTCATCAGAATAGATGGCGCATCCAATTTTCAAATCTCTCACGTCCCACAGTGCACTGAAACTACAGCTTGGCACCACGAGGTTGGGAAGAACTCTAATTCCCCCAATGCAAAAGCAACAAAGGTTGGAGAAACATTAATAATGGACATGACACTCAGATAAAGACATGTCAGCGGTGATCCTCCTGGCTTTTATTGAAGGAAACGTGAATTTGGGTCCAAAATTTACAGTACATTGAATGAAAAACACAGCACTGAACAAATGAAGGTCTGGGAGGTGGACTGCAAGACCACAGCTTGCACAGCTCCTTCATACCTCAAGATGTATTCCCTTTAATTTCCCTGTCTGAAGGCTTTTAAAGCAAGAGGCTCTACCTCGGTTGAATGCATAGTTTAGATGTTTAATGATAACGATTCTCTGATGCCTTGAGGGTACGGAGAATTAGTGCATTCGTTCCTCATCTCAAGGCACGAAGGGGGCCAAACTCGGTCTTAAATCATACAAAAACCGAGTGCTGTAGGTTATCACTCATGGTCCCGTGCCTGCAACCCTTCACGAACGCTCAGCCCTCTCGCTGCAGAAAGGGAGCAGCTGTGTGCAAGGAGACCCGTTGGCACGCCTGAGCGGGGAGGACAAGCTGAGCTCACTGGAGTGCTGCTTTCCAGGGGCAAGGTGCATTTGAGCAGCTGGTGCTGGGGCTCAGGACCGAGCATTTGGAGGGAAGCCAGTTAAACACGAGGCTTCAGAAGGCAAGAAAAGATGCCAACGTTTCGATACAGCTAACTGATTCACTTCCTGGACAACAGTAAAAAGGGTAGGAAAAAAAAAAAAAAAAACAAAAAACAAACAACAAAACACAACACCAACAACTCTTTTCCTCCTCTTTTTGTGTGTGGGTTATTTTAATTGAAAGAATATTTTTACGAGATCCCATCAATCACCTCCGGAAAGTCATGCTCAGCGCTCGCCTAAAGCATTGAGAGACATCTCCAATGCGGGGAGATTCTCAGAAGGGTAAACTGTTTCAGGTTGAAGTTCTTCCAGCTCATGTAAAGAGATGTCAAGTTAATGAACCTGAGGAATGAGGAGGAGGAAGGGGGAGAGGGATGAAAAAGAGAAAGAAAAAAAAAAAAAGAAAGAAAGAAGCTATTTCTATTTTCTCCCCCCAAAATATGCCTGGAGTTTTTAGCCTTTACCATTTTTGACAAGTAGTAACACACATAGGCAGTTCCAGCACCAGTACAACTTGATCAAGGAGGTCTGCCTTGGAAATCACCCAAATAAAACTTGGCAGAGGAAAAAAAAAATAAAATAAAAACAAAAACGAGGGAGTTTAAGAAGTGACAAAGAGGAGAAAGAAGGCCAGATCCTCAGCAGAGCAATTTCTTACATCTCCTCTTTGCCCAGGGAGCCCTGTTAGCTAGTGGCAGGCTCCGAGCATGCCAGAGAAACATTTGTAAGTGAGAAAAGCAGCTCACGTCCCTCACTGAAAATGAAATGGTTGAGACAGCAGGAATGTCTCCTGCTCCTTTCAGAGAAACGGCGATCATTTCTGAAATGTACGGGAAGTGAGAATGTGCAAGTTGCTGAGATGCAATGCATTTAGCAAATACCTGAAATTGCTGAGAAAATATCTACTGAGGAGGGAGTGGGAGGGATATTTGGGGGACCTGGAGAACGTAAAAACCCAGGAATGTGAAAATTTAAGGAGAGGGGAGACCTACCCCTTCTAATGCACCTAAAAATACACCAGTGATTTATTTTAGTTATTTTTAAAGCGATGTGATATGACAAAGGAAACAGAAATTCTAAGCTGACTACCACAAAAACCTTCCCAACAGAGAAGCAAAAGACTCCTCCCATGACCAAAGCCGTAAAAGTCCAGGGGTTGAGGACATTTCAAACAAAGCTGGTGAAAGTAGAGCAGCACTTCTTGAATTTCTGTAGCTGCACATTCTCAAAACAAAGGCAAAGGAGCCGAGATGGAAAGATTTGGAGAGCTGCACAGCAACAAGAGAGCTGCCAGCAGAGCAACTGTTTTAGGACATGAGTTTTCTCTCCCCAAAGCACTCATCGACACTGGGGTTAGATAAATTTTGGTTTCAAGCATACAAAAGGGGAACTGTTCTTTTCTATTCCTCTCGCACAAACAGAATGGCTCGAATTGGAAGGGACCTTAAATATCATCTAACAAATAGCTTCCTACCATGGGGATACATAATATTGGACAAGAAAAATCAAGCTCCCAGGATCTGTTTCCTTCCTTTTGCCCTGACTGATGTGATCTAGTCTGTGCCTGTGTCTGCAGCTTAACTGTCCCCTTCAGAAAGTGGGATTAATAACAGCAATCTGCTGAGAAAAAGCACTGTCAGACACCACAACTGTGAATGGCAAGTTCACCTTGGCCTTCCTTTTTTTTTTTTACCAGCATTTTTGGTCGGTCTATCTATTGCACGTGGCTGTGCTGACAAGGCTGGACTTGTTTTTTCTTGGAGACAGTTGTTCCCTCTAACTGAATGCCCTGCAAAATAAAGAAGAGATTTAAAGTTTTGAACCAATGACAGCTCTGAGAATTTGGGAGGTGTTATGCAGAGGGTCAACTCTTGGGTTTATTTCCACCGCTTTTCATCACAAACCTGTTCACTGAATACCTGTCAGCACAGCCAAATACCACAAGAGTTCTTCGTCTTCTAGTAAGAGAAACAGCAGGATTTGATTCTGGCATGAGCAGGATCACAAATGAAGAGGAGAGAAGGCAGACGAGGCACCTCACCTCAGCAGGAACCATGAAGGGGTTTCAGAGCCACCAATAAGTGTCTGTGTCTAGTGCTTCTCCCTGCATTATTCAGCCCCTCTACTACCAAAGCCCTAAGCCTGGTGCCCTCCTCCCACCCTGTGAATATCCAACATGCTCAAAAACATATAAACTATCAGAGGCATCTCAGCTCTTCTCTCATCCAAATGAACCTCAGCAGAGGGAGAAAAGCAGAGTAATCCAGCTCATTCAGATGCCAGCTAAAAGGCAGTCAGTCCATCACCACTGAGCAGTCTGTAACTTCACCAGTTTTCCCACTCTTTGGAAATGTCCTTAACACGGAAACAGAAGTCCAGGTTGATTGGAGACGGTCCAGCTTGCTGCTTCTGAATCTCTTCTCCTGAATGTCCACCAGGAAAAAATATCATTATTGCTGTCATTAGGACGTTATCGTTAGAGATGATGCATCACACTCTGTTTCATCAGAGACACCATTCCTGGAAGGGAAAGAGAGGTTTGAATGAACAGTGCAATATATAGACTGACCAAAAATGCTGGTTAATAAGGGAAGGCCAAGGTGGAGCTCAGATCTACCAAAACCTGTTAATGGCTCCACTTTCAGTAACTCGTACTGATGATAAATGACTTATCTTTACCTATGCCATCTCCATCTGACCACAAAGTCAAAGGTGAAATAGCCTAAGATGAAGCCAAAGGTGAATTCTGTGGTGAAATAATGAATTATTTGTAAATGTAATGTACAATTTACAATGTAAACTGTAGTTTATGCAGTTAGAAATCAGCATTTTTTTAGCGTGCTGTTTGTGCCTTTCAAAACCTAATGACTAGCCAGGACTGCAGAATTCACTGTCTCAGAGATGCTTAAATTAAACATTCTATGAAAACAGGAGAAAATGGTTTGATTGATTTGCTTCCCATGCACTGAGAATTCAATCAGTTTAATTCTCAGAAAAAGCCGTGCTTTAAAAAAAACAAGAGTGACAAGACCTTTCCAGGAAAGCACAGCTTTGAGAAACAAGATTTTGCCCATATCGAAATGTCAAAATCTCTGGTGTTTTGTCGGATTTTGCCATACCCAACAGGCTCAAAACAATTCTTTCTGGAAATGAAACAAGAACCTTTCACGCAGGAGCTTACAGCTCCGTCTGGTTTTGCCCATCGTTGTATTTGTTCCCAGAGCAAAGACCAAAAATCTGTGTCCCTTTGGGGAATCAAGGTCTGACTGTTGGCATACTGGGGCTGGGAAAAATGGCAAACCTCTGAACAAAACAGGTTTCCTGAGTTCCTTGTTCTCATTTTCTTCCTGACGTGTGGGCAATTCCTCACAATGCAGTTAACAGGCAGAGCTGAAGGACAGATTTCTGATGTATTCATGAAGACAACACAAACCCCTTCACCCTGCATCCTAAGAGTCCACAATTCTGCTTTGAACTGTATTTCAGAAGTCAGGAATTCAAAATGCTGCCAGGCCTTATTCAAGCCTTGAAGTGCTACAGATTTGTACTAGAGAAAACACCCCCCCACGCTCCGCCAGCCTGCTTTCCAGGCAGAAACAGACTCCCCAGTGTTTCCATGATGTGAAAACGTGTTTTGTTTTATTTCAGCCATCTCTGAAGAACATCAAAATAACGCTGGCAGGAGCAAGATGATGTTTGTAGGTAGAAGTAATATCTTTTACGAGAGCATCTGCTCTTGTTGGAAAAAAAAAAAAAAAAAAGAAAAAAAAGAAGAAAAAAAGCAAAAAAGCAGATAAGCCCTGGGCAGTAAAGAAAGGCTTTTGTCTTATAGCTGAAAGCTTATTTAATTTTCCAGCTATATTATTTCAACCTACAAACCTCATCTTGTCTGTGCGCTTAGACCTTTCCAACTGCAAGAACATGGCCCCACGAGCATTGCTGTCCATTCACAGTATGCAAGACAACTTGGCTGCATTGTCAACAAATTAGTGTAGAGAAATGGGGCTGAGAAATCGCTCCTGTTCATCAGGTGCTTACCCTGACATCACTGGGTTTGTGCTTTTTCAATACAATGTAGGTGGGTTGAATTTGAAATGACTTCTGAAATAGAATTTTGTATGGTAATATACATATTTTCTATTTTCTGACATTATTTGCCATTCATTTCAATATCATACAATTGACATGAGCTGAATTTTCCATAAACTGAATTTTCTGTTTTAATGGGAGAGAAATATGCTCTTAGATCCGTGATGGGGATTGCTAGTAAGGTATACACCAACCTGTAAACAAGGAGCTTGGTGGTCCAGCTGGGATGAATTGATCTCACTCCACGCAAAGGCAAAGGACAAGTCTGGGAACTACATCCTCCAGCCCTGCATTGAGGTGACCTGGAAGTTTTGGAAAAAATACGAGCCCCCATCTCCTAAGAATTAGACCACGAACTCTCCTCAGCCTGACAGTTCACCCCAGAACCTACCTCGTAGTTATAACATCAGAAAGGATGTTAAGTACTCACTAACCCAGACGAAACTGCCCTCCCAGAGGTGCCAGGCTACAATGAACAGCTCAAAATGCTTTATGAGCTGAGATTTTGGTTTTACTGTTACGCTGGAGCAGTTCAAAAGAGGCAATTTGTTCTGTGGCTTAATGCATTTAGGAACCAAGGTGCAGCACATTTACTGTGGCAGAAAAACAACCTCAGCCCCCCTACCCTTTGAAGCACAAAGAAAGCAAATGAAAGGCGCAGAAGTGAGCACCCAAGGTAGCAAAAGCTTATTAGTGAAGGGAATAGAAAAATCGATCATTCTGACCTGTGCAGCAGCTGAGGATGTGGAAGCAGGAAACCCTGGAGACGTTAGAGAGAGCCAGCAAACCTGAGCAATCTCCTTTGTTTGCTGCTAATGAACCATGGTGATTTTTAATAATATATAAACCATTTAAAAGGACTTGATAGGAAGCTCAAGAAAGTCAGTCAAAGCCTTTCTACCTGGAGCGAGGTCGGAAAACAATTTTTTTATTTTTATTTTTTTGTGAAAAGGGGGAACAATGAACTTCTGCCAACCGCAGAGCAAGAACCAAGCAAAATCATTGGGGTCCAGACAGTGTCTGGACCACCAGATCACAAGATTGGCTCCAGATTCCTTGGGTCTCTGGTGCTTTTATCAAGAAACTGTAGGGTTTCCATCCATAGGCAAAACCCAAGGATTCCTGGTTGCCATTGCCATCATTACCAGGCTTCCAGGCATAGCTCTTGTAAGCCCCGAGGACTTATAGGACACGTACTCCAGCCAGGCTTGGTTTTCAGCTCAGCCACCACATAAGGAGCATGGAAATCCTGGGATCTTCAGCTTGTGGAGTCAAGGAGCCTAGAAACTCTCACAGTGAGCAAATGAAATGGGCAATCCTGGCAGTTTCGTCACTGTCATTAGCTGCTTTTAACAGCAAAGAAACTGCCAAGACTGTCACATTCCCTGCAGAGCTGGAAATCGTAAGAAAAGTGCTTCATTTTTGGACTCGCTATAGTCCTTCGCAATGTTTTCACGGGATTTCATGCTTGTGGTATTTAAAGGAAAAAAAAGGGGGTCTGATTCAGATCATAACTTTATTAAAAAGTAAATGAAACATGACAATCCCGCTTTTTGATCAGTTTGGCTTCTCGTGATCACAGATGGCTTTGACAGATGTTGGTACACACTCAGCACGGCTCCACGCAAGTTTGGGAACGACCCTTCACCCGTGACTGATACGTAGCTCTGTGAAAAGAAAACTCAAATTGCTCCAAGTGTAGAAATGCAAAAAAAACACACTCTAGGTGCAGGGATGAGGAGTTATAGGGCATCAACACAATCTAACAGTGACGAAGACTGAAGGTGCCATAGGCACTGTATTAGGTCCTGCTGAGAAGTCCATGTCAGACTGGAGAGTCCATATATTGGGGCAGGATCCTTGGAGTGGTCGTGCTGTTTAAATTCTTGGCTTTATGATGATTGACACAACAGTGTCTTCATCCTGTTGAAGTTGAGGTGCCAAGACACGAAGGCAAATTAATAAACTCATCACTGCAGATGGGGTTTGCACGGCACCTCTGGGTGCAGTTTGTCCCCACACCAGTATCTATCCCACCCAAACCCTGCACCTCCAGCACCGCAACACCCTGCTCACCCACCTCGATGTGTGCAGGGTCATGGCCACAAATACAAGCAGAACTGGTTATTTCTTTCAAATTTTATTTTATTATTTTATTTTTTATTTTCCATCTTCCTCGTGAAGCAGCTGGCACCTCCCGGTGTCGCTGTCCTGGCTGGTCCCCAAACCACCCTGATGACACCGCTTGCCCACTTCTTACCCCCTTCTCCTCTCCCTGGACCCTTCCCAATTTTTCCCCTCCTCAGACCCAATTCTGCTGCATCTGTACCCAAATCCCGCGTTTCTCACAGGGCTGCCTGTGGGCTGCCAGGCCTCCTGGGAGGCTCCACCACAGGCATCAGGCAACCTATTTCTCATCTAAGCTATAATTTTATTATTTAAACCCAAAACCCATCGGCGACACCTCCTCAGCGGCGTTTGAGCCTCCCCCCCTTTTCCCCTCCCTCCATCAGGCCCCGCTCCGCCATTACCCCCCAATCTCAGAACTACAACTCCCATCACCCCCCGCGGCCACACCACCAGCGGGAAGAACCGGGGAGGCGCCGCGGGGGCCGCTGGGACTTGTAGTCTTTTCCTCGCCGGATCCTCGGTAGCGTTAAACGGAGGACGGGCGGGGAGAGAACTACCGGCTCCCGGGAGGAAGAGGAAGAGGCCGGGGACCGACAGGAGCGGGGCTTCGGCCCGGGACCGGGATGCGGTGGCGGCCGGGGTCGGTGCCTCCTTGCTCGGGGCGGCACCATGCACCCGGCCGCGGCGGTTTGCCTGGTGTTCGGCGGCTGCTGCAGCAATGTGGTGTTCCTGGAGCTGCTGGCCAGGTGACGTGGAGGGGGGGGGGCAGAGGTTTTTGGGGTAAAACGGGCGGAAAGGAGCGAGGTTTGGGGCAGGAGGGGTGGTGAGGGGCAAGGGGGGGTCCCCTGGGGTGAAGGCCGCAGCGACCTCGGCTTCAGGGCATTGGGGTGGGGAGGGGGCGGCTGCGGAGCCCCCGGGGGGCTCTGAGGGGATTTTGGGGGCTCTGAGGGGATTTTGGGGTCTGTGAGGGGATTTGGGGGGCTCAGAGACGGCCTGAGGGGGTCTGCGGCCCTTCAGGTGGTGGTTGGGGACCTTCACAGCTTGGGGAGTGGGCCCAAACCCTAGGGCTTCTTAGTGGGGTCAATGGCACTAAGAGAGGGTGGTTTTTGGGGTATGTGTGGGCACCGAGAGGGGATGATGTTTGGGGTCAATCTGGGCACCAAGCAGGGATGATGTTTGGTGTCCAACTGGGCACCAGGAGGGGATGATGATTGGGGTCCGTGTGGGCACTGAGAGGGGATGATTTTTAGGGTCTAGCTGGGGACCAAGAGGGGATGATGTTTGGGGTCAGCCTGGGCACCAAGAGGGGATGATGTTTGGGGTCAGCCTGGGCACCAAGAGGGGATGATGTTTGGGGTCAGCCTGGGCACCAAGAGGGGATGATGTTTGGGGTCTATCTGGGCAGCAAGAGGGGATGATGTTTGGGGTCTATCTGGGCAGCAAGAGGGGATGATGTTTGGGGTCCAACTGGGCACCAAGAGGGGATGATGTTTGGGGTCTATGTGGGCACCACATCCCCTTCCAAACCCCGACGGACAAAGGCCAGCGCAGCTTGGAGGAGGCGATCATCGCAGATCTTTAGAGATCTTTAGAGAAAAAAGGATTGCCAAATAGAGCCTGGATGCCCCAAGCCAGCAGTGGGGTTACTTGCTTCAAAATGGGAGACCTGGATGCGGGTCCTGCGAGGTGAGGCCCCACAGTCTCTCCACAGTCGAAATCAAGAAGCAGATCTTCGTTTCCTGCCCTAATGATCCCAGTGATCCTGCAGGGAAACGCCATGCCTGACAAGACGTTGTTCCTCTTGGGGATTGCTCTAAGCTTTGTGCCTTTCCTGCCTGCTTTGTGCTTCAGCCTCAGCGAGGGACATGGAATATCCCCCCACAAGTTAAAGAGAGCTTTGGATTGGGGATCATCCATTTGCTTGCCACCAGACTGCAGACATTAAAACAAAAACGAGCCATTTGGCCCTGCTCAAAGTCCGAATTTGGTATCTAAACCCCAGAAGTCTGATCACAGATGCCTAGGAAAAGCTGCTTTTCCACACACCAGCATCTCCTGAGCATTGCCTCACGTCTGCTTTAGAAATTTTCCCAGTTCCTGTGCCCTACCCTTGCCTTTGTTCACCTTCAGTCCCCAAACTGGGGCAACACTGCTGATTTCTCTGAGTCTTGCTGTTGTCTGGAGGGGGAAGTCCCTCTTGAAAATGAATCTGCCCGTAACAAAGAAAGTCTTGGAGCAGGATCACAGGAAAAGGCAGTGACCAGACAGAGTCAAGTGGGGAATAACAAAGGTAATTGAAAGAAATTTGCTCAGGATTTATGTGGAAAGAGTAAAGGAATGAGGACTGTTTAGTCTAGAAGTGCCTGAAGACAGACAAAAGGCTTTAAATGCGTGGAGAACGGCTGCGGGAAAGACAAAATATTTTTTTTCTGCTGGGCTCTGGAGAGAGGACAAGAAATAATGGGCTTCTATTGCTATGGAAGGGGTTGAAAGCAGGACAAAAATCAGGTTTTATATGGGCTGGTGTCCTTTCCTGGCTCAGCCTGGGGACTGTCTTGGAGCTGTGATGCCAGAGCTCTGTGGGGTGTGCGTGCAGGCCTGGTTAGAAAGCCCACGATGTGCAAGTGGCCTTCTGAAGCTGTGTCCCTGGTAGATGTCTTCGCTGCAAAGATGTTTGAGGCTCTGCTTGATGGAGCTCAGTGGGGTTTCTTCCCTTTGTGGCGCAAACCTTGGGGGGTGTCTTGCTCTTCTGCAGGTGCCATGGAAGGCATTCTGTATGAAATCTGGAGTCTTCTACAGAAACCGTTCTTGGAAAAGTGATTTGGATGTGCTGAACTCGGTCCAAATGAGAGCACTCTGCATTGACATGACCCAAACTGATGCCCAGAAGCGGGGCTGTTCCATTTTGCTCCCCACCGACATGACCAGGAGCCAATTCCCTCGTGGTTCCTCTGCTTTGCTTCCGGAGGGCTCCCCATCAGTTATCTACAACAAATCTTTGGTTGATGGATGCAGCCTTTTGACATTTAAGGCTATCAGAATGTTAGGATTATGAGTCAAAGGAACGGGCAGGCACAGGCTCGTTTTCTTTTTGTTTGTCCTTTTTATTACCAGTCAAAATACAACCCTTTGTCAACACTCCTGATAACGTGAGGCCACAGACACGGCAAGTGACTGGATGCAAGGGGCTGTGGGTTGGGAAGAAACAAAGTCTGGTGCGTGGAAGCTGTCTTGGTTTATTCCAAGTTTACTCTTGCTTTCTGTTTTCCTACAGAGATAAGGTTTACAGTCCCATGGCCTGGCCCCTGTCTGCTGTTCAGTCTCTCTTCTCTTCCCCCATATAACTTTTGAACCCCGTGACCACGCTGCAGGCATTGAAGTCTTGAGGTTAATTGATCTCTGGGGTTAATTAATCTCTGAGAAACACGAAAATTGGCAGGTGGGTAGCAGGGAGGCGCTCGGGCTGGGGCACCAGAGGAAGGTGCTGTGCCTCCTGCTGCAAATAACAGCGAGCTTTCAGATTTATTGACGTGTCACAGCTTCCTCTGAGCCATCTGGGTGTATTGAAAGTGGGCCCAAGCTGTTGTGGGAAATCCTGGAAAAAGATCCTGTGGAAATCCTGCTGTCTTCCACCCAGGCAAAACCATTGTTTCACCTGGCCTGTACCGAGCCCAGCAACTTGCAGGTAGTGAGAGAGCCCTTCCAGAACTGTTTCCTCATGAGAAAAAGGGAGATCCAGCCCCAGGATGGTTACGGGGGTGCTTGATGTCGTGTGTTCACACCCCGTGCCGTGGTGGGAAGTTGTAAACCCCGATCAGAGCAGTTTCCTCTTTCGCTTCCTCACCCGTGTCACCACATGCCCCATGGAGGGAGTGGCTGCTTGCTTCCTCTTTGGGAATGGCAGGGGAAGTTTTTGGGATTGCTGCACATGTATCCAGACGAGTGGGGGTGAGGAAATCCCTGCAGGGAGGCGTGTAACAGGAGCAGCAGGAAAACCTGGATGGATAAAGCAACAAAATCCCAGGCTGAGGCCGACTGTGGGACCACGAGCTGCCCAGCCCGTTGTTATCCCAGCCCAGTGCACCGCGTGTTCTCTGTGATGTTGTATTTATCCTTGTGATCTTTCTCCTCACCTGCAGGCAGTTTCCAGGATGCGGGAACATCGTGACGTTCTCCCAGTTCTTATTTATCGCCGTGGAAGGTTTCATCTTCGAAGCCAACTTCGGGAGGAAGCGGCCGGCCATACCCATGAGGTACGGTGGATCTCAATGCCTTGGCTTGTTGCAAATTGGCCACCTATCTGTTATTTATCTCAAGGAGTGTTTAATAAAACGCCTCATCCGTTTATCCTGTCCAAACCCCTTCGCAAAGCCTTGCTGGGAACCTGTTGTGCCTGTTAAAATGAGAACTCCTGGTTTATTGAGAATGCTTAAGAGGAAATTGCCCTCAGATTGCATCTGTCCGAGGCGCAGGGCAATGTTTTGTACAGTTTGCTAAGTCTGACGAGCTTGCAGCCTCTCTGGGGCTTGCTGCAATGGGCGTGGGAGGGAGAGGTTTACTGGAAATCTCCTTTTGCATTTCTCTGTCAGGGCTTGCCTTGTCCCAGCAATAACCTGGTGCGTTCACGCTCTCTTCCCTGGTAAAGCCGAGGGCAAGTTCAGTGCCATTTGTGGCTGCGTCACAGCAAGGAGCTCTGTAGGAGAGGTTTGGGACCGTGGAGGTGTTCGGCGTGGGTTTGAATGGCTTCTTTCATGCAGGGTTGTGATGCCAGCTGGCAGAAATTGAATTCTTTCAATCCAAGCCTTGTTTTATGCCACTGTCCTTAGGAAAGAGAGGTCTGGGGCAAGCCCATGCTAAGAGATTCCAGCTGGGGTGTTCTTGGTTCCCCTTTGCTTCTGCAATTAGCACAAACCAAGCCAGTGCATGTCAGTCCACTTCCCTTTTTAAGGGCTTCCCTGCTACATCCAAACTGGATCAATCTCCTCGTGAGTCATTAACACACCCCCAAGAGCCAGGTGGGTTCCTGCTCAGCTCCAGACCTCTCTTTGTGCCACTTCACCTGTTTGTAAAGTGTGTCCCAGCACCCAGGGAGCTACGTGCACAGCCGTGAGCTGGTTCTGCTGACCCCCACTCTGTATTTCAGGTACTACCTCATCATGGTGGCCATGTTCTTCACTGTCAGCGTGGTGAATAACTACGCCCTGAACTTAAATATTGCCATGCCGCTGCACATGATCTTCAGATCGGTGAGTATTGCTGTGCTGTCCTGTCCCATCTCACATGATGCCTTTTCTCTGCAAGCACTTTCCCTGATGGATACGTTCTTTCACCCTCTTTTTCCTCGGAGGACAGCAAAACCCTGTGCAAAACTGAATTCCAACTCAATTGTAGGGAGAGCGCTCTTGCTATGAAGGTTCAGCTTCAAGCTTTATTTCACAGTGTTGACCATTAAATGTCAATGTAACGTCCCTGGATTGATGAGGAAACTGAAGCTGGAGCAGATTTCATCTTTCCCAAAGTGATGGGGAAGTAACAGTGACAGAACCAAGGCCAAGCTCTGGCTGTCAGCCTTGGAGGGGCTGAATTGCTGGCCAAAGGGACCAAGTTTTCCCTTCCACCTCATGGTCGGAGAGGATGGATTTGGCCTAGTTCCACATGAGCTGTTACTGCCTCTGCTTTGGGGGTTGTTATTAAAATGCATCTTCACTTAAATACTTGCATGTGAGTGGCTGAAACATCCATAAAACCAAAGACAACGAAGCCCTGGCTGTTGGGAATAGCGAAATCATCTGGGGGGGCTGTTCACCCACAACATATCACAGGGTTGAGATACCTGCAGCCAAGAGAGCTTAAAAAGAACTACACCAGACAGGGTGTTTGCTCCAGCATCCTTGTTCCCAAGCCACCCAGCTGCACTTCTCCCTTCCTTCTAGCCAAAGCCAGACTCCTTCCACCCTGTCATTCTCCCTGAACCTTTTCTAGCATTTCTCTTTGTGTTTTTACATTAGTTGCTCATGGTATTTCTCTGGGGCAAGTGCCCCAGTCCAAGGAATTTTGTCCTGCTGACCTGTTTTGTTTTTTTTTCCCCTCCTCTCTTCTTTTCCCAGGGCTCTCTCATAGCCAGCATGGCTCTCGGTATCATCATTTTGAAAAAAAGGTAAATCACCAGCACCTTTCTTACACCATCAGGGAATGCACTGCTACTGCCTTAATCCTGGCTGCTGTTTAGAGCCTTACCCTCTCCTGGTAAATATCCTTGTTGGACTGATGGAGCACACAGATGTGCCCAGACTTGAGCAGTTCCCTCTTCTGCGCTCCCACTGCTCCTCACTCCTTCATTTAAAGATTAAAGATTGAAGAAAGAGCTTTTAAACATTGCTAAAGACAAGAATGTTAGCTCTATTCCATCCTCTTTCACTCTAGTATTACTCCTCGAGGATGGATCTGGCTGGGATGGAGTTAGCTTTCTTCGTCCATAGAGTACTGTGTTTGGGATTTGTGGCTAAAATATTGTCAGTGACACACAGATGTTTTGGCTAATGCTGGAGAGTGCTCACACAGTGGCAAAGCTTTCTCTTTTTTGCACTCTGCCCCCCTTTCAGTGAGCAGGATGGGGGTAGGCAAGAATTTGAGAGGGGATACAGTGGAGACAGCTGACCCCAAATGGCCAGAGGGATATTCTGTGCACATAACATAGGGCACAGCAGGAGAAACCAGGGTAGAGGAAGAAGAGGGTCAGGGAACCTTGGCTTCTAAAATACCCATGCTTGTGGGAGGAGGTGCGCGGGTTCTTTGCAACAGACAAAGAGACCTTGGTCCAAAAGCTTCTTTTTTTGGTGCTGTTGGAATAAGTTGGCCTTCTGTCCCCAGCAAAATCCAGTGTTAGGTATTGGATAAATGCCAATTATCCCAAGTTTATACTGGTGTAATGGAGCAAAACGCCAAGCAAGGGAGAAGGAAATGAGGATTGCAAGGTTGGGCTGGGTCCCTGACATCTCTCTTCTCCTCCACGCAGGTACAGCATGTCGAAGTACACCTCCATAGCCCTGGTTTCCGTGGGGATCTTCACCTGCACTTTCATGTCTGCAAAGCAAGTGGTAAGGATTGGAGGGGGCCTGAGGTCACAGCTATGAACCTTTTTGACAGGAGGAGCTGCCCTGGGCACCTTCATCAGTAATTTTCTTTGCCTGGATGGTGAGACGAGATGTCTCCTAGCTCTAGGTCTGTCTCCTGAAAGCAAGTGTTCCTGCTCTATGGATTGGAGGAAAAGGACACAGATAGATGCCTTTTTTTCCTGTGTTATTCAGGTTTTTAATTAGGAGTAGGTGAATCCTAAGCAAAACTCCTAAAGGAACTCAATTCTTTGCTCTCTTTATCCTAGAAGAGAGCAAATTCTGGGTTTCGGAATTTTCCGAACCTGTTGTCAGCCAATGTGACTTTCTGTGAGCCTTGTAATAAAGTTACGTGTGCTTGGAGAAGAGGAGGGAGCAAAGAAAATCTGTGTAACACCGTGGATTTGGGCTTTGCTTGTTCTTCCCTGCATGCCTGCCCTGAGATGAGGACAGGAATCTGCTAACGGGCCATCTCTGAGAGCTTTACAGGCAACACTGATTATTTTTATTGTAGAAGAGTTCAATCTCTGTCCAAACCGGGGCATTTCGTTAAGAAAATCTCCTTTCTTGATCAGACATTTACACTTCCAGCTGGAATCTGCTTCGTTCCTGAAAACAGAGTGGCAAACAAAGTGTGCTGTAGTTGCTACTGCCTCCGTTCAGCTGGGGAAGTGACTGGAGAACGTGAGACTTTGGGCAGTCTTTGCTTTCTGGGCTTGCTTGGAGCACAAGCAAGCTGAAAGCAAGGTAGAGGCAGGCCTGAATGAGCTGCAGGGCTGTGGGAGCTGACGATGACCGTGTTGTGTTTCCCTCCCCCAGGCATCTGACTCCAGCTTGAACGAAGAGGACGGACTCCACGTTTTCTTGTGGTGGCTGCTAGGTATGTGAGCTCCTTGTCTCCAGCCAGCCCTGATGGGATATGGACAAAACATTGCTCTCTGATGTCCGTGGCCATGTGGGTTGTGCTAAACAGACTGTGGAGTGAGTCCCTGCGCTGATACTTGGCTTCCAGTGGGTGTTGATCCCCAAAGAATGGGGCTTTGTGGCACTCCTTTGCACTGTTGTACAAAGACACTCTTCATTTGGCCAACAAATCACACGCAGCACCTGCAGGGCTTCTGCAAAGTAACTGTCCTTGTAAGGAAGGAAGCTTTTTGCAGATACCTTTTGTATTTCTCCCTTCAAAAGCAATTTGTTGGTGGTTTTTCAGGGAACCTGGGCCTGATGTTTTGTCAGTAGTGCCAACAGCTGTGTCCCTGGTATCCCACCTCTGCTTGCCAGGGCTGAGTCCTTGTTTTTTTTAAGAGCTGATCCTTTGCAGAACAGTCTTGGCATCTCAGCCCTTGTAATAACCTACCTGTGTCCCCGAGATAATGATCAGTTTCCTGCCCATCTTGCCAGCTCAGGGTGCTTTGGCTTCTGTCACTGTTTTCTTTCACTGAAAGCCAAACATCAGGGATCCTCGAGCTGGTTACCACGAGCTACGCCGTGCTGAAACAATCCTATAAGGCTGTGCTTCTGTTCCAGGTATCGCCGCACTCACCTTCGCCCTCCTCATGTCTGCCAGGATGGGGATTTTCCAGGAGACGCTGTACAAGCGGTTTGGGAAGCACTCCAAAGAGGCCCTTTTTTACAATGTGAGTCACGGGGTCTCTTCTGTTGCTTTAACTGGGCAGACAGAGCTGCTGAGAGCCCTTTTCCCTCCCATCCTGCTCTCAGATCCATCCGGGCAGCTCTGTGAGCTACTTCAAACACTGGTTTCAGCTCTGTGTAGCCTGCAGACCCCTTCCTGGGCTGTAGGAGGTTGCTTTTGGTCCCGTCCTTCCCCTTTGCTCCCCAGAGAGAAGGAGTTTGGTGCTGTAGGTGCGTGGGACACGTTAAAGACAGGCAGAAAACCAAATCATGCTGTGAGATGTGTGCTGTCATCCACGGAGATGCGTGAGGCTGGATTCCCTGGATGAGCAGTGGTGTGGACTCACATAATCTGTTAACGTCGTGTCTCTCCTTTCCTTCCAGCATGCGTTACCACTCCCTGGCTTTCTCCTCCTCGCCCCAAACATCTACCACCACGCCGTTCTCTTCAGCCAGTCCGGTGAGTGTTGCACAGGTGGCCCCTTGCTCTCGTTGGACCTTTCTGTCCTCTGGAAAATGCTGTAGGGAGCTTCCAGACCAGAAGTTGTGCACGTCAGAGATTCAAACCTTTCAAATTCTCACATTTCAAGTTCTCTAATCCCATCATGGTCAGTCGTGAGCAGCAGGGAACTTCCTCTCTCCTTGCATCTCTTGCATTATTTGCTCCTTTCCAGCTCACACACGTGTCCAGGCAGCCGTGACTACAGCAGGTAGATTTTTTTCTTGAAATCCAGGTAGATTTTTTCCTAAAATCCTTGATGCTGAGAGATCTCCTTGTCCTTTCTCTCCACAGAGCCCTTCCAGATCCCGGTGATTGGGCTGACAATGCCGATCATGTGGTTCTACCTCCTCATGAACGTCATCACCCAGTATCCTTCCCCTATGCACCTTGAGACGAGCTGGCAGGATGGGAGAGGAGAAATGGGGCAGGGAAGCTAGGGATCCTGTGCCCTTGGAGCCTTCCCTGCATTTAGGAGCTGATATTTGTGTAGCCTTTGGAAAATACAGAGTGGGATTTAACGTGGGGCTTATTTTTTTTTCCAGGATGGTGGAAATCTGCCACCAGCTCCCCACGGGCAGTCTGGCTGGTAAAAATTCAGTGTTTCTGCTAGCTGGGATGGATCGAGAGCTATTCTATCCGTGGGCAGTCTCCCAGGCAGCGAGGACAGATCTGCAAAGCTGATAAACCCAAGATGCACTAGAAAAAGGGACCCTTCAGTCCAAGTTCCCTCTTCACAGTTTTCTCTCATTGCTGGGAGGTCGCTGTCCCCTGTTGCTGCTCACTCTCCTCCTTGTTTAATCTGTGCCCCCTCAGAGAGGAGAGGGGACTTCTGCAGATCTGCTGCCGGGTATAAAGGGAGAAATCTGGTTTTAGCACCTGCCACAGAGCTAGGGAAGCTGTAAAAGCTGCACGCCACTAACTTTTTGTTTAAACATCAGCTCTTGCTGCTGTCCCAGAGCAGACTTAGGAGAAATCCGCGAGATTCAGGCTGTCCCTGGGGCTCAGAGCTGTAGAAACGCCGAGCCGTGAAGAAAGGATTTTAAATTCCTCCATTCCCAAACTTAGGTTATCCATTTCCCAACTTTTTACGTTCCCAAAACCGGGCCACCCTCCCTTTTCAGCCCCGTTGCCTTCCTTACCTCCCCCCTCTCCTCCAGATACGTCTGCATCCGCGGCGTCTTCATCCTCACCACGGAGTGCACCTCCCTCACCGTCACGCTGGTGGTGACGCTGCGCAAGTTCGTCAGCCTCATCTTCTCCATCCTCTACTTCCGAAACCCCTTCACGGCCTGGCACTGGCTGGGCACAGCCTTCGTCTTCGTGGGGACTCTGATGTACACCGAGGTCTGGAACAGCCTCGGGCCCCTCCTGGCCCGCTGGAGGAAGAGGCCGAAGGAGGATTAGAGGCCGGGGGGGCTCTCTGCAGGGAGCTTTTTATGGTTTTATAGGGCAGGGCAGCAGGGAATCCTCCCGGAGAGGGGTTGTTTTTATAACAGGGGAGGCCTTGGCTGTGCCAAGCTCCTGGGAATCACGGAGCCTCCGCCGGGAACCTGCCTGGAATGGATCACGGAGGGAGGATGCAGTTATTTTTGTGCAAGGTTGCATTTTTTTTTTAATGCAACCCCTTTTGCTCCCCCACCCTATATTTTTTTTTTCTTTTCCATTTAAATTAATTGAAAAGCTGACCCAGTTCTCTGCTAGGAGCCCAATCATGTCGTGGTGCTTTTCTACACTCCTCCCAGCTTCGGTGGGCTGGACCCTGAGCCTGTTTGGTGCCGTCCTTTAGCATCCAGGTCCCTGTAGCACGCAGGTGAGCCCCTGGGAGCCCCCAGGCACTGCTGCTTGTGCAGCAGGTTTTTAGTTACACTGGAAATGCCAGGCCTGGCTGTTAATTTGAGTCCCTGTTGCCCTTTTCTGGGAGGACATTGGTTATATTTGTAGCTGTCACCTTCTCCAGAGCCTTCCAGTCCGCCCAGTTGACCTCCACCAAGCCCCCATTGCTTGGAGCAAGACCCAGCTGGGAGCCTGAGGAAAACAAAGAGGTGATGCCAAGGTGCCAAAACCCCACCACATCACCTTCACGGCCTCCTCAGGAGGTGGTGCAGTGCTCTCGGGGCTTAGCTGAGCCCTCAAATGATGCGGAGGGTTCACGGGTTCCTCCTGCTTGGTCATTTTTCAGTCACTTTTTCCTCCTCTTTCCTTCACCTGAGTGTGGTCGCAGGGCGATTTGTTGCCAGCAGTCAGCTGTAACAAACCACTCAGCCCCCAGCACGCTTGTGGTCCCCCCTGGGTCACCCCTTCATGGAATCACGGAATGGTTTGGGTTGGAAGGGACCTTAAAACCCACCCAATTGCACCCCCTGCCATGGCAGGGACGCCTCCCACCAGCCCAGGCTGCCCCCAGCCCCATCCAGCCTGACCTTGGGCACTGCCAGGGATGGGACAGCCACAGCTCCTCTGGGTAGGGTCTCTCCACCCTCAGAGGGAAGAGTTTCTTCCTTTATCTAATTAAAATCTGGCTTTTCTTAGCTTAAAACGGTTGCTCCTTGTGTCACTCCACACCTCAGGGTACAAATGATGCCAAGGAACTTGAGCAGGGCCAGTCCAGCTGAGCTTATTTCTGCTGCTGGACAGGGGATGATTTTCCTGTCCCTTCACCCAGCTCTCCCCTTTTTTCTTTCCTCCTCCCACTCCTCGGGGATCAGCTTCACTCGTGGCATTCCCGTGCAGCCCGTCAGCATCCCCCAGGCACGGGGACGGTTTTGCTGAGTGCCACCTCTCTCCCGATGCTCGGACAGCCTGCGGGAGCTCTGATCAGAAGCATCGCCCTGATTCCTGTTGAGCTTGGCCAAGGAAGGGCAGGGGCTGCGCTGGGGTTTTCCTCCACCAGCATCGTCGTGGCTTTGGGTATTTATGTCTCCAATTTCTGTGTCTATGGGGAGAGCTAAAAGTGGTTTAATAAGCACAGGGAAGAGGAAGAGCAAAACAAACGTGCAAAGACAATCACCACCTCCCAGGTAGACCGATGCCAGCGGTCCCAAACAGCCACCACCACCTCCAAGCCCCTTCCTCTCCGTTTTTATCGCTGATTTTTATCTGGGGCGGCCGTCCTGGCTGTGCCAGCTTCTTGCCCATCCGAAGCCTGTGCACATTGGGGGCAGAGAGGGGAAAAAAGAGGCCTCGATGCTGTGCAAGTGCAATAGCTGAGGCATCGGCGTGAGCCCTGCTGCTGTTTTGGGGTTGGTAGAGCCAGCAGCACGCTGATGAGCCCCTCAGCTCAGGTCCTTCCCAGATGGTAAAGGGGTTTCCCTTCTGGGGTGCTCACAGCCAGGCAGCAGGAGCTGTTTTGGGGCTGTGGCTGTGTTTTTTGTAGCCTGGGTTGGGGATTTTAGCAAAGCAAGAGCTGAGCAGGTGCCTGAGGGACTGCACCATCCTGTACATAGCCCCCTCGCTGGCTGCCCTTTGTCTCAACAAGCTTGCATGTCCCCAATCTTTGTGACACTGTGAGATTTGGGAATATTTGGGTTTCTTTTCCTGACCCATGTGCTCTTCCCGGTCTTCACGCAAGCCAGGTGTCCACTGTGGTTTTTTTTTGTTCTTAGGGTATTTTTTTAAACCATTTACGGTGTGGTCTGGGTGTTTCTGGATGCTGTTTCTGGTCGTGAGGTGGAGAAAAGATCCATAAAGAAGCACCCCAATAGCCAAAACTAGGATTTGAACCAAATTTCCCTCCCCCCACCAAAAAAAAAATAATATGGGGGTACTGATTAGTTCGGGTTTTATGTTTGCTGTAGAAATGGTAGCACACATTTTTTTTAGCAGAGGTTGGCAAAGCGATGAGCCAAAGTGCTGTCTGCCCCGTGTTTGGGATTTACGGAGCTTTTGGGTTGGCTGCTTGGGTTTAGGGTACTTGTGATGTTGTGTTTGTTTGTGTTCTTTTTTTTTTTCATTTTGTTTTTCTTTCTTTTTGTCTGTTTTGTTTTCCAAACAAAATAAACGTCTCCTCTTCAAAGCAGGCTGCTCCTCTTGTTTCTCCACTCGTGCTCTGCTGCCCAAAATTTCTTGGGGGCTCTGAAGTTATCACCTGATTTATCCTCCCTTTAATATGAGAGGGTACAAATGGCTCAGCCTTGCCAGGCTTCGAGGGGAAAGCTCAGCCGTTCTTTTTTCTGCTTCACTTGCCCTGCTGCTGTCCCAGGAGGTGCAGAAATAACAAACGGGGCTGCTCCTGGCATCAGCACTCACCCATTAACCCGGAGCCGAACCGCCCAGCCTCCTGCATGGGACGTGATTTAAAAGAGAGGCCCAGGAATGAAGTGATTATTGCAGTTTTTCCAGAACCCCCCCGAGGACATCTCCATCACCGCAAAAGCGATGATGTGGTGCTGATGACACGGCAGCAAACTCCTGGCCATCGCTTCCCGTTTCGCACGCCTTTAAAGCTCTCGGCTTTAATGGGCACACTCAATTCCTCAGCAGTTACCGCGTGTGTATAGTGATATAACTCAAGAAATCGTCTTTCCCCAGCTCCTGGCAGCCTTTTGTTTAATAAATCTTCATTGTCCGGGCTCCGCTTTCATCAGCTCGGAGATTTCTGTTCAAAATCTTTTGCCTTTCATTAAATCCGGGCTGGGGTTTATTAATGCTTTCAATCTTTCCTCGGCGCGCCGCAGCTCGGCTCGCCCTGGTGGTTTGGGAAAAAACAAAGAGATTTTTTTATTATTATTATTAAAGCGAGAGGGAAAGCCTCGAACTCCTTTGGGAACCTCAATGAAATCCTTGTCACTTCCAAGGTGTTCAAAAAACCTGCTCCCGCCACTAAATTAAATAAGAGGGGAAGGAGAGGGATGGAGATGTCTCGGTAAATCACTCGGAGCCGTGCAGTTCATTCCTGTTCAGCACCTTTCATTACAGCGATCGTAAATCAGCAGTGGGAGCCCAAGAGGGTAGGAAGACACCATTTACTGACACAGGGAAATTCGGGAGGTTTGGAGGATGCACAACCATGATTTTTGTCCCCAGCGTGGCCCAGGCTCGCTGCTCCCTTTTCAGGAGAAACGCTCCCCTTGGATCCCTGTTGGCCAGGAGGTCTCCAGCAGATGGGAACCCAACCTTGAGCTGCTGGAGGCTCCATGGGGCCACCCCAAGCTGGGATGGCTGGGCCTCAAGGGGCCTCCTCTGGAAGCACCTTCAGCACGGGGGATTTTTTATTTGGTTGATGTTGATTTACACCTTCGTGCTCCTACTTGCTCCGAGGTATGAGCGGGGCGACGCACGAACGATGATAAAAATGTAGGAGCCGCCTCCTCCCTGCAGGAAAAAGAAATTCAGGCTCCTCTCCCTCCGCCTTCCAGGAGACACAACAAATATCTCGGAAGCTTGAAATATTTCCTGCGGGTTACCAAAAGGCTACGTCCAGGGAGCAAGATTTACTGCAGAGCCTGTGCCGGGTACCAGGAGGCCTTTGCTTGAGCTCCAGCCCTGCAGAAGCGGGCGCTTGGCTCCTGTTGGGCTGGTGATGGATAAAAACAACTGGTGTCTGTCCGGGGGACCCAAAACTCTTGCAGTGACACTGTAAAAGTGTGGGGTGAGAGCATAGAAAACCCAAACCGGTCCCCTTCAAACCCTTCAACAGCTCTTGGTTGCATAAGGGATGGGAAGAGAACCACGGCCACAGTCGGCGGAATCACGGCGAGCGGCAGCGCTTCTCACCCCCGCTGCTGTGCTGTTAAAAAAAAACCACAACACAAATTATAATTCATTTTGACAGCTGCCAAATTAGCAGCAAGTTACGCGGCGTATTCAATTAGACAAGCTCCCGAGGGGGCAAGCAGGCGCTGCCGGGATGCGGCGTGGTGCTTCGGAAAGGGGATTGTTGGCAACCGGTGTGGGCGCTCGGCAGGGGAATGAGCAGCACTTTGGTCACTCCTGGCAACTCTGCACCATCTATTTGCAGAAAATGCTGAAAAATATCATAATATAAGACAAAATAAAAATAGGAGAGAAGAGAAGAGGAGAAGGAGAAGGAGAAGGAGAAGGAGAAGGAGAAGGAGAAGGAGAAGGAGAAGGAGAAGGAGAAGGAGAAGGAGAAGGAGAAGGAGAAGGAGAAGGAGGAGAGAAATAGTTGCTGGATTCGCAGTGATCTCACCCACAAGTCAAGCCCTGACCAGTCCAGTCCATATTGGTGAGGGTAGTGAAGAAGGGAGGCAGGAGATGAAGGTCAGAGAACCAAATCAAACCTTTTTACACCCATTTTCATTTTATTTTTTTCACGTCTTCAGCTGACTAAATTGTGAAGTGGGGGCTGGAGACCCTAAATCATCCGTCCTTGGGCTGGTAAAGCCATTTCAGTTCACGCTGAAGAAACCACAGCTATGGCTGTTGTTGAATGTTTAATTTAAAAAAAGGGAAATTAAACAGCTTGTGGTGCCCCCCTCCGTAAAATTCAAGGCTCGGAGACTTGCTTGACTATGAGTAACTTTAGGTGCTACCCTGCTGTAATCCAAACATGCTCCCTGCCAATGAAAACAGAGTTCCCCGAAACAGCCCTGCTTTTATCTGCCAGTCTATAAATATGAAGGCACCGAGCTGCACGGAGCTTTCAGCCAGAAATAAACGCCCTGAACTAAGAATGACGAACGGCGATGCCTCCCAATCTGCTAAAAGAAATGTAAATGTTACGGGTTGGAAATCTTCTGCCTTCAGGCTCAGCCAGGTGTTTTGTGCACCAGGGACGAGTGACCCCACACGTGGGTTTTGAAAGCTCAGGGTCAAGGAACTGGTTGCAAGCTGGGAGAGCCTCTTCAGCCATTAATTGTCTGCTACAATGCAGTAAGATAACCAAAATCCTGATCAAGTGCTCGTTTTTTTTTTTTTTTTTGATCCCTGTGCACTGCCCGCAGTGCCTTCCTTATGCAAGCAGTTCTGTCACCAGGCTGAGCTGGGAGCTGTGATCACCGCGAAACACCGGGCACCTTGCAGATACTCATTAACCACGATGCCAGCACAGCTCCTCGCGCCTGTAAAACAGCAAAAAACCATCGGCTGATCAGCGGCCACGTCAATCGAGTGTGCAGCCGGCCGTGCCAGCCAGGCTGACAGCTGGGAAGTTGTTTGCAGAGGCAAAGCTGAAGGTGTTTGCAGAGGCAAAGTGGCCCTGAGGGATTTGTTGGAGAAGTTGAGGGGCTTGGGAAGCGTTGGGTCCGGTGCTCACCTCGCTCAGATGCTGTGGTCAAAGCCACCAAGGTTCAAGGCTGCAGCTTCTGCTGCCTGAACTCCTGCTGAACCCGCTTTTTGTTCTGCCAAAAAAAAAAATATGATAAAAGCTGGTGCCTGAGCAGAGCTGTTGTTCTTCAGCTCGAGGATCCAGCCAGCTGCAGCGTGGAAAGGAAACGGCTTAATAAAAGGCTGAGCTGTTTTACAGGCTGCACTGGAATTTAAGGTCAGGCTATCTGAACCTATCCCTTACCAGGAGCTGCGTGGCTTTGTTCAGCTCATCCCATTTAAACAACGAAAACCCTCGAACACCTTGTGAACAGGCACAACGAGGTAAACCAGAGCCATCCCACTGACACAGCCCCGTGCTCTGGGAACGAGTCACGTCATCTCCTGTGCACGCAAAGACCTCTCGGGACCCTTGCTGTAACAAAAATAGCAAACAGCCTTCCTCGGGGGAGGCTGCTCAGGCAAAGGGCCCCACGATCTGTTCCCTAAATGGATGGTAATGAAAAATAATCAGGACAAACATCGACTTGAGAGTTTTATTTACTTGTCAGAGCTCTGTTCCACATATAGAAAAAAACAAACAAATCTTCACATGGTGCTTACAGCTTCAGCCAGTTCTCTGAAATTGTAATTTTTTTTTTCTGGTGACTCCGTACTAGCTTGTTTGTTTAAAAACACATGCAAATGAAAAAATTGTCTCAACTCTTCAAAAAAAACCACATTTTATTAAAAATAGACTTGCAACTGGTTTTCACTCCCAACAACACTGAACATTTCACAAAATCCCTCTTCAAAAGAATTCACTAGTCCTACAATATCAGGGATATTATCAGAAGCCCCGATGCTTCCACAGCAATTAAATCTATAAAATAGGAGGGGGAGGAAAGAAAGAAATTAATAGAAGATGTGGACTTGTGGCTGTGAGGAAAAAAATTCTACACCATTTCCCAGCTGAGAATGCCTGGGGAAATCATTTTTAGTGTTGGGAAATGCAGAAATTACTTTTTAATAAAGTTATAAATAAATAACTTTTCGGCGGTTTAATCAGAAAGGGATTTAGAAATAATCTTTGATATAATTTCTTTTGAAAAAAGCAAAATCTATCAAAATCAGTATCCCCATTAGGCAGGATTGGGTGTGACCGAGACGAAGACTTGGCTAGCAGTGACCGTCAAGGGTTGGTGCTCTTCCTCCGGGGTGGGATTGGAGGTAGGACAGGTCTGGAGTGGGAGCCGGGCCAGTTGCTGAGCTGAAGCACATGAGAAGAACCAGCCTTGGGTTTGCTGTGCTTCCTCGGAAGACTGTCACGGTGGAGTTCATTCTCTGCAGAAATTATAAATAAGTGAAGAGACTTAAGAGGGTGTTTATTTAAATGAATTCACCACAAAGTGCATCCCCCACAACATCCCATGTTTTGTGAGGGAAAATAAGGCTGCTGTCTTCAGTAATCTAGTGACTGCTCTAGCTCATGTGAGCAGAAGAGCAGCTTCACGCCTAGGCAGGCATCATTTTGAATTTCTCCTGAAGTTCCTTGAGAGAGAGCTGCTGTACTGAGCATGTTTCCTTCACGCCACACTGATTCTGCCACATTTTAACATCGCTTCTTGTAAGAGCGTCATTATCAGAGGCATGAAGAAGCTGCCCTGGCAGCCAAGCGAAGCTCCTAACATTACGGTAAGCACGATGCACAGCCTGAGCAAAACTGGTACTTTGGAATATGCTTCAAACCTTGCAGTCTGTCCGCTCCGTTTTCAGCTCCCCGTGGATCCTGGTGCTCAGCTTGGGCATCTTCAGTGAGACGAGTGTGGGGAGCAGGGGTGAGCACAGGCAGGCCTTCAGCAGCAGGTGCACCGGCGGAGTTTAGGAATAGCCTTCTGGCAGGACCAGATCCTCTGCAGCTGAGAAGGAGAAATGATTCGTGGTTTGAAACAGTGAGAAAAAAAGCAGACGCACCAAGTCTGATAGCGTTATTGATGCTGCAATCGCATGACTCAATCCAAAGTCAGAAAGAAACGCCAGTGCTTATCAGCTACACGAGGCTTTTTTGCACATTAAGATTCTCTCAAAACTTCCAGCACTAGCCAACACAACTACTACCTCTCTCAGTGTTCATTTATTGATTTAATTCATTAATTGCACAGACAGGTAAAGAGGTTCGTGCCACACAGTGAGACAGCTTCACGGGATGGCTGGGGTTGGAAGGGACCCCTGGAGGTCGCCTGCTCCAATTCCCCTGCTCAGGAAGAGCCACCCAGAGCAGGTTGCCCATGACCACATCCTGATGGCTTTTGAATAGCAAGTCTGGGATCTCGGAGCCTCTTATTTCTAAATTTGTGTCTTAGTGAGTAAAAGAAAATAGGAATTGCCTTGAAAAGAAGCATTTCTGTGGTGCTCCAGCGACAGCAAGGACCACAAGTAGCCATTTACCAGTGAGAGGTAACCAGGGCACCTCTGACCTGTTAGGTGTCTTGCAGAAAACCTCACCAAAGCCAAAGCCTGAGTGGTCTGAGACCCTACATATTAAAGCAAATAATCCGTGAACGTGACGTTTCGTAATGTCTGTCTTCATCTGGAAAGGGCTGTTCTGGTCGATATGGGAGAAAACAATTCATAGGTTTATGAATATAGGAAGAAGCTCAAGTTTTATCGGCCCTGACCTTATCAGTGGTGCAGGCCAAAAGAGTTCCATCCTCTAATTCTTGTAAGAAGCATTTTACCTTGTGAGAATGCTGTGATTACAGTGTTCTGGGGAATAAAACGAGAATTTCAGCGGTATTTTAATAAAACCGTACTGTAAGAAGAAGGGATCATGAATAATGAGATAAAACAGCGTGGTACTCCCCTAAGAAACAGGTAATTATCTTCTCACTGGAAGTACTGTGAAAGTCTATGAGGTTTTTGCTATTGCCTTCAAGGCAAAGGAATATTGTATTCTGTAATGAACTGAGTGCTCACATCTTCCTCCGAGCTCTGCTGCATCCGAGGATGCTCATCAACTGCTGAATGCTCTTGCTGTGTGCTTAACCCTAGCTGTAATCGCATTTTAGCTGCCTGCAACGTGCATCAGACATAATTGTGGCAGGGATAAGGAATTACTGGGAGTAGTGAAACCAGGCTCAGTATAAACAGCAGCATGGACAATTCAACAATGCCTACACCAGTTTCTAAAAGGCCAACTACTTCTGCTTTTGCTTCAGAGAACGTCTAGGCGTGCAATCACCTATTAATAAAGGATAAAAATTGACCATAACGACATGGTTAGAGTTAACCCCCGTGGAAATCTGGGCACAACGACTTGAATGCACTGCATCAAAGCCCAGCATAGTAGGTGTTAAAGAAAAATCCTCACTGCTTTCTCCCTTGCTATCCCTTTGTAAAAGGGCAGAAGACGAGGTAAACAGTGGAAAATAATTTACACGCCACTTTATGGTGTGGTAGGTACCCAAGTTCCCCTGAAAATCACTCAGGTAGCCTAACGACAAGAACCCCACAACTCAGTGCTGCAGCAGAAAGCTCTGTCAGTACCTTGCGAGCTTGTGAGGGAGCAATTCACAAAATAAAAGCCAAATTACAGAGCTAAGATTATCCTGTGTTGGTTATATGATTTCCCTGTGGGGAAAAAGCATGTTTGGTGCAGTACCTTCCTCCCCCCAGAGAAGTGGTGTAAGTTACAATGACAACTCCTGCAAGTTTAACCCACATTTACCTGTGGCACCAGATCTGCACATTTTTCCGAGGACACTCAGCAGTTTTAACATTTTATAGTTTATAGTGTGGTAGCAGCTGTGATTTATCTGACACAGGGGAAGCCTTGGTGTTTTACTAAATGCCTCGCTGTTATATTCTGGTCTTGGCCAAGTTGTGAATTTTAATAAACCTTGATGTGAGGCTTTATTGCAATACTCTTCTCAGTGTTTAGTTGCACAGAGTTCAGCAAAAGGCTTCTCTACTACAAACATCACAGGAAACGATTAAGGAAAGCTAATCAGGATGAGAAAACCAACAAAAATAAGTAGAGAAACTACAGCTTATGCAATCCCTGCCATCTAGGTGTCCAAGGTACTTGTGAGAGGTGCAGTAAAGGAGCTGAGCATGTACCTCTCCTTCCTGCTTTCACCAAGTGATCTGTAAATGAGTTTGGGTAACCTATCTCTAGTCCTTCCCTGACAGCCCCAGCACAAAAAAAAAGAGAACTATTATGAGTGGAGCAGGCACGTGTCCTGACTTTATTCCCTCTATTTTCTTATCAGCTATATGGAGAATAAATGTATAAAATAAAAATAGAGAGTAATATCCCATGGAATAATGAGATAAATGGAGTCTACGTGCACTAAATACAAAATAGTTGAGGAGTAAAGCCCTGGACTGCTACAGATTTTGTTTAGATCTTGCACTTGCCACCAAAACCCTAACACACATCATTGCATATGACGGTGTAACATACTGGTTGACAGATATTTTTCATTTGACTGTGTTTTGCAATAGCTCCTTGCTAAAGGCGCTGCTCAGTGGTAGGTGAGGTTCTGCCTCCACCCTCAGACCTGTAAATAGCAAGGGGATAGGAACATATTAAGAAGTTTCCCCTCGCTGACTCACGAGTTCCCAACTCCAACTTTGTTCCTCCTCTCTTCTCTTCCCCTTGCTATGTTGTAACCAGATCATTTCCATGTCTGGTTTATACTACAGCCTTACAAACACCTCTACTGGTAAAAGTGAGGAATGAAAAACAGCAGACAAGGAGGTAAAAGAATTTATCACTGCCTGTGGTGACTAGCAGCCCTTTAAAGTACAGTTGCAAGATAAATTGCCCTAAAGGACAGCTACTCAGCACAAGCAATGATAAATTGTTTAAGCCTGTGTGTGACAACAAAGGGAACTTTGGGCAAAAAAAATATCCACGCCTTCACGTGCAGGAGAGTTCAGGCCCAGCAGAGAACTTCAAAGAGAAACCAGCACTGTTTTCTCTTGTGAAATTGGGAAGGACTAGGTGAGCAGTTTACTTCCAAGGAGAAGACCACAGCTATGGTCTTAGTGATGAAAAGAAGCCGTGGATGTAATTAGAAACTGGCTGGCTGGAAACTGCTGGTCAGTTGAGAGATGTCCAAACTAAACCTTTAATTTCTACTCGTGGAGTAAATGCAATCAGGATCATCTATTTTACTTGTAATCAGAGGTAACAGAACAACTTCAGAAGTTGAATCCAACAGGTGTCGGAGACCTGATGGATAACGATGGCACTTCCATCACAACTCAAGCTGCCAGATTTGAGAAATAATGTGAAGAATTTGGGACCTAGACACAGAGTTGCCCGGTGACACATCAGACTCATATCTGCAGACCCAATCCTGGAAAACAATATTTGCTTCATTGCCTGTGCCTGGAGGTCAAAACATTAGTGCTCTTACCCCTTGATGGATTTTATTTTACTCTTTCTTCCATTCCAAATGTTGAAAGCATAAAATTGGGGAGAAAGCAAAAGAAAAGATTAAAGCACCTCAAAATTCAGGCAAGCAAAATCACAACAGGCTTTGCCGCAATACTTCAGAAATGTGTTTTTTTTTTTTTTTTTCCACCAGTATTTCAAGTGCATCTACACAACAGCAATTCCATCAATCATGCCTATAAGGAAAGTTTGGAAGAAATTTTCTTATTTCCCTTGCAAAAGGGCTTGACAGCATGACTCTATACAATTTTGCCGCAGGCCACGATGCATGCACAGAGAATGAATCTGATTAGCAGTTTGCATTTTCTCTCCTCACAGTTGTTTTTCCACTGTGTTATTAACAGTGCTAAATGAAAACACTGCTAAAGTCAAAACACCAAAATGTGGTGGAGTGGAAAGACATATTTATTCCCATATGTGAAGGGTAAGACCTTTACAACTCCTCGTAGCTTCACACTCATTTGAGTTACAGGTCCTGCCTCTTCCTGGGAAGGACAGATGATGCATAATCCCTCTGCAACCTATTACACACTCAGTTTCTCTCACACGCTCACTCTGTTCCCCTTCAGCACGCTCCACGGTGGCACAAATACTCAGGACAAATGAATCTGCAGAGGCCTACGGTTTCAACCTTTTTACAGCATGCTAATTAACAACTTGTAATTACAGTGGCAGGTAGTACATCACGGAGAGGGAACTGGCAGTCTCTCTAGGATATAAAAGGAACACAGATTTTTTTTTTTTAACAAGTTTATCTAAGAATTCTGCTTTAGCAGATCAGGAATGAAGCGAATGGGTTGAAATCTTATGAAGATGTCAGCATTTTCTCATTGGCTTATGTGAAAGATGTTTAATGTGTGTTTGGGAGGTCATTTAACACAGCGATTTGTTCAATTCAAAACTAATTGTGGAAAAATTCATGGTATGGATGTTTCCATGCAGTGGGAGAGGTACCTTGGTTGGTATGGAATGACAACAAAACATCAGATATGGGACTGAACCCGTGATCAGATTCAAGCTTACCAACTGCCATATGGCATAGCCATCAGCTCCTTCTCAGGTGCAGTTTTTGGATGAGTTTTATTGTAGATTCAGGAGAGGGAGAAGAGCTCGGCTCACAGTGGCTCACAGCACAGCCACGAGCACACACCTATTTCCAAGTGTGGATGGGGAATCTGGCGTGTTACACCTCACTAGGTCGTGCTGTGTGGCATCCGGCTGCTTCTGCGTATCCCATCTGGGCACGAGATTACAACAGATGGCCAGGAGAGGGGGGAAAAAAAAAAGCTGATCTAGGATTCTGCACAGAGAGGCTGCAATGTCACTTGCCACAATAGCAGGCAGGCTTGTTGGCAGCCAGAGCTCAGACATTTTTAGGGAACAGGACAAGTAGAGTGAGTCACAGCCATTTTGGCAGGATGGCAACGTGGACCTGTAAAATGAGTCAGGAAAATAAAGCTCCCTTCCTAGCTGAATGGCTCCAAGACAATGAAGATGTAGCCTTTTCAAGTTGTCTTCTATCCTCACCTCTCTATAAACTTTAAATGAGACAGGAGTTGCCTCCCTGCCACACCCTGGGGTTATCATTGCAGTTCTGTTTTTCTCTAGCTGGACCAAGTTTCTTTCAGTGTCTTTTTCCCTTCAAATATCCTGTTAATAGAAAGATTTTGAAATTCTTTTTTTTTTGTTTTTTAATTATGGTGTCTAAATGAAACCCTTCCTACGAAAGACGAGACTTTGCTTTATGATGTAGTGACACATGCTTAATAAGGCTGTTGATGGAACAGATGAGACAACTGCATTAGCTTGGAAAATGGTTTTAGATCTTGCACATTGCAGCATTAACCTTCGTTCCACCCAGCGCTAATCTGCTGTCTCAGAAACTGAACTCACCGGCTCTCTGGGTTATTCAAGAGGAAGCTGTGATCTTGGGTGACACTCCTTCCATCGGAGACCAGAGAAGGATGTGTTGCTGGCTCCAGTAGTTGTTGACGGGAGCTGCCTGGTGCAGGAGTGACTGCTAGGTCCCTGAAACGATACAAAAAGAAAATAAAAAGGGCTTGTTATAGGCTTTTATATTCTGTGACAGTATAGCTAGTGCTTAGTTCACAATAAGCAGCTGGGGGTAGTAGTCCTGGCTCTGTTTTGTTCCTCTCCACTGGCTCTGTCACAGCTGAAGTATGAATAAGCTCAAGCATAAGCAGAGCTCTAAAGAAGGCTGGATGAATCCCTCTCCACCAAGACAGAGCAGAGTAGGACAGCTTGTTCAGAGACATTTTTATTAAAGATACTCCAAATCAGGTGAGATTAACCCCACCCCTCATGGCTAACTCACAAGGAGAGAAGTTTCATCTTCACAGCCACTTGTAACACCTAAAAATCCCGTTCCTGGTGATGGCAGTACTGACACCACGTTATTTACAGACAAATTGCAGAGCTAAAACCAAACACAAGCAGAACTGAAGAGTACCTGATGTGAGAGGTCCATAACTTAAAATCACAGCTCTTGGGAGATTCCACACATCTACCCCCTGTACCAGAGCCACCCCACTGACATGCGACAGTGACCTCCAAAGGAATCTGATAATTTAAGGGCCATGAGCCTACTCAACTTCTGTGCATGCACTCATTTTCTAGTTTCCCTAATAAGTTTGTCAAGAACATTTTTAATTGTGGTAGCAACTGGTGGATGCTTGCTCCATGGGAGAAGCTAGGTTTGTAAGGAGGGATAATAATTTTTCTTAAGACTCATTACTCAGATATCATTCCCTAGCCCAGCACACTGTCTCTGCAAGCAAGGTTTATCAACTGCTCATCTTCAAATTCTCCTTTTAAAAGTTTCTTCTTGTTAATACCTATAAATAAAGCTTCCCATATGTAAGGCCTCAAGCTGTTTTTGTTTCTCTGTCAAGTGACTGCCGGCTGGCTGGTAATGGTGTTTGTTCACTGTAGGCTCAGATCAAAATCTGAACAAAGTACAAAAGAAAGGGTCTGATTCCACCAACGGCCCCCAGAGCTACTGAGTGCTCTCAGAAATCAGTTCACGTAAATCAGTAATAATAATAACAATAATCTCTTAACAAAGAATTTTGCTCAATACATAGAATTCTGAGTAATTCTGCTCAGAAACACAGAGCCTGACAACAGAGGTTAGAAGAGTAAAGGCAGAAATCTGAAGGCAGGATTCAGTGCCACCCCTCTCAGGGCTAAGTTGCTAGGGGAAAACGTACCCTACTCCCTGGAGCAAAGGTTGGCATTCACAACCTGTGACCCACTCTCAGAAGCTGTATCTCAGCTGAAAAATAAAACATCTTGCAAGAGAGTTAATAAAAACAGGCATTTTTAAAGGTGAGAGGGATTTTCTTCCACCTTCTACCTGTGTCTGCCATGTGTCTTCTTCACATTTCCCTCTGAGTTCTGTACTGTTGTCAGAGGGATTTATATTCTGATTGCACTAGTGTGCCTCAGCTCAAATAAAACAGGAAAAGAGGTTGGATAACTTAAACAGCACCCTGTGGAAAGGCACACCCATGTAGTTCAGGACAACGTCCTAGTTTTGTCACTAATAGAGGCATAAAAATAAAACTGAAAAGTGAAATTACACTGAAGTCGGAGGCTGGCCAGACAAGAGGATCTGCAAGACTTGTATGCAACTACACACACGCAAATCTTATGTTCAGAGCAAATAAATCCAGCCTGAAGAGCCTCACAGCCACAGGTGGACCGTGCACCTTCTCTCTTCCCAGTTCTGGCAGGGAGCTCTGGTGAAACTGTCAAGTCCATAAATTTTCTCCAACGTAGAAAAGTGAGATTGCACGTTATAAATCCTCCTCGTGGTGATGTCTGCTCTTGCTTACTCCGGTTCTTTCAGCAGCATTCCGAGAAAATCAGCAAGTTAATCGTTAGCTAAAGGCCTGATCGGAGTGAGACTTCAACCCATCCTCTTATTTATTGCCCTCAGACACAGAGACAACCAGTGAAATTATTCAGCTCAAACCACCGAACGTTGCCCTCATTGTATTAGGCAATGAGACATCAAAATGGCTTTAATTACACCTGCACACAGCCACGGGCCAAAAATAAAGAGGACAGGTTTTCAGTAGTTTGGATTTAAGAACCTGAATTTATGTAGACAACCCTGTGGGGCTGCAATAAATAAAGCAGGTTAGATTCCTGTGTGACACCACTTTTAAAATTTTCTAATACACACTCAGGATAATTGAGCAATATATTTCAGTTTGGATTAGAATGTGCAACGACGACATTAGGCATTAAAGAATATTTTACTGATACACGAGAAATTCAGAACATCTAGTGCCTTAGAAACTTTCTGCATATATCATTTTTTGGCATCGGTTTCAGATATTTCATAGAATTTGGATTCATTCCTAACTGACGTAGGGTTTTCATTCTCTGCAGCAGCAGTGCTCAGAAGCAAGCTGAGCTGCCTCTGTCCTCTGCCACTTGTGGTCCACGGCCACTCGCTCACACTCCCAGACTGATGCCAGCACAGGCAGCCCTTCAGAAAGGGAGTGAAACAGATTAGGGAACTGATCTGGCTGAGGAAAGAAATAAAAAGAAAAAAGAAAACCTTTTTGCTTGGCAAAACTTGCTAAGTGCCTTTACGGAAGAGCACGATGGCTGTAAGTTTGCTACATCAAGATTCATTAGCTAAAAGCCTCTGTAAGGCTGGATGTACTACCAGAAAGAAATTTCATTTTTAAATCTCATTTTTAAATAAACAACTAAGTGGACCAAGTGCTTTTATGCGCTGCTGCTGGCAATAAAAATAAAGAAAATGTGTATCGTGTTCTAAATATAAAATATTCAGAACAAATCTGGTAAGATTCAGGCAAAACTAGACAGCAAGAGTTTTTAAAACCAGATTTCAAACAAGCATGACCTCTGTCCTATTTATGTAGCCAGGTAGGAAGAGAAATTAAGAGTTTCTAAATAAAATACAGCTTGAAAAAAAGTATTTTTCCACAGGAGAGAGAAATCTGGAAAGCACTGAAGCTAAGATAGATCTAGATGTAATAGTGAGTCTAACCTGAATTTCTAACGCAATTTGACTGCATGAAAGGATTGGTGCCTCTTTTTAACAACATATGCAGAGACAATGAAGTGTTGTACCTCAAAACACAAGCTACAGAGTCTTATTTGCCAGCACTTGTAAGGACACTTGAAATACTCCAGTCAATTTTAAGAATTAATTAATAAATTAGAGAGAATTTCTAGTTAAACTACTGAACTTAGTAAGGCCAGGCTTGGAGAGAAAGACGATATATATAGTTTAAGTGAGAATCAATGACAGGTATAAAACAAGATAACTAACTACCCCCAACGTTATTTGGATTGTACTGCTAATATTACTATAAATAAGATGATCAATTGCCAGGCTCGAGCTGAGCTGCACAATCTGTGTCCAAGCTCCTTGCCCAGCCCTTGATAAAAGCTAAAAAAAAGAAACCACATCACCTTACATTTCCTATGGGCTAAAACACACAAAGATTACTACCACAGCTGAGCTGACATACACGGTAACTTCTGAAGTTACTGTAAGTTTAAGCATAATTATACATTAAAAGAAAGAGCCATCAAACCCTAGGTGAGCTATTGCAAAGTGAAACCCTTCTTAAGGGCATTTAAAACTTAATTTGATGCAGGACAAATAAAAACTTTCAAAAGAACCACCATGAACCAGCACTGAACTGGACAACACCTACCAGGTTCTCCACTAATTGCCACATTCCAGGAATCGGATTCTCTTGCAGAATTTCAATCATTTTAAAACTTTCTTATTTACGGCATTTCTTGACTTAACCTCTTGCATGGAATGGTGCCTTGTCTACTCTTGCCTCCAATTCTGCCGAGCGCATCCATCCCTCGGGGCCTGGTAATTGCAAATGCTGATTGGGGGTGACAGGATTTTCTCTCACCTGCCTGACAGCTCTGCTGAAACAGCTCCATGCATAACTCCAAAATCAGCTTCCACAGAACGAGTATTGTGGAATAAAGGGCGCAAAGAGCAGCAGACTAATGCAGACTCAGATGAACAGTTCACATTGCTACACTAAATCAAAACCAAAACATACAGCAAAAGAAAACACCGATTTCCATTTTTCTTCTCAGTACAACGTAGTTTAAAATGAATGAGTGAAGAGAAAAAGTCTTCCTTAAACTAGTTGAACTTTTATCTAAGTAAAGATTTGGAAAATGTACCATAATTATGCATTTCTGGCTGTAAGCTTCTGCTGTTGTTTTTTCTAATGACAGTTTAATTCGCTGATTTTTAAATTTCCCTATTTATTTATTTTTAACGAGTCGGTCTCCGGTCTTTGTCAGGAGAAAGCTGGTATGTATAACTGGTGACTGCATTTGTAACGGCCTGAAAGAAGATGAAAGCTGTGAATTGTTCTATTAATTTTGATGAGCGCTGACTTAGAAGTTCATGTTCTACTTTAAACATCAACACTGTGAGCCTTTTCAAGACAAGTAGGAAAAAAAGCAAAGAGAAAAAATAAAATTAGGAAGATTTACACCATTATTTACCAAGTGAAGTCAGGGATCCCACAAAAGACCAACCAAAGAAGGTACACCAGGATTTACAGACATAACACCATTTTGCAGGGCTGTGACTATGAGGAAGAAGAAAGAAGAGAGACAGTAAAGATAGAATGCGTTTTCTAGAAACAAACAAATTGCAAAATTAAAAAAAAAATAACCAGAAAGTAAAGTCTGCTTTCAGAAATTGTGCTTTAAACACAGCTATCCACTAAAGTGTACTGCAAACAACCTTATGCTGAGCAAGGCTCTGACTGTCCATTTATCACCAGCAGCACTGAAAAACATGTTGGAGACTGCGAGCTGCCAGAAGAAGGATCTTATTCTGCTTTCTCGGAGAAGAAACAGGTAATAACTTCATAGTTTTAGACAACTTGCTTGTGGATGGCTCTACCTCATACATTTTTGGTACACATTTCAGAACTGCTGAGCTCCCAAGTCAAAAGACAGACCGTGTGAGATATATTTGTATGGCGAGATTTAAACGTGATAGAAAGGACAGTTGTCTGTGAGACCTGCAGTCCCTGGCAGATCCTAATCATTCACCCTTAAGAATAGCAGAGAAAAAATCTAAAACAAGCATTTTTCACTTGGTTGCGAAGGACTTGGCTGAAACTCCTCTACATTACCTTTGAAACAGCTGGACATATGCACTAGGTGCCTTCCCTGACAGAGCCTGACGTGCTGCAGCATGGCGCCTTTGGAGAGAAGCTTCTTCCTGATAAGGAAATACAACCAAATTTGTATAGTGACTTGGAAGCACACACGGTAACTTAATTGCTTGTAATATTCCTCTCTTTTGTTAAGACTCTAAAGTATATGCATTTGTATATTCTGGGAAAACAGCAGAGCAGTACTGTAACTAAAAAGGTGCAAAATATGATCTATGCAAACCAAGTTTTGGTCTGAAATCTTGCCAGCTTTGAACAATGAAGATCATCTCCAGTGAAGCCCCGTTTCTTCATATAACAGCCAAAATGTGCCAGGACGTAGCAGGAAGGAGTGTCTGCAGAGAGCCACTTTTGATGCATCCCAACCTTACCGCATATTAGGGCGGGGATAATTCTAGTTATGCTGTTGTCTTCAGCTTCTTTTCACCAGGAAGGGTCTGAATACAGACAGAATTGCCTTTGCTACATTTCAAATACACTGGCTTTGCCTCCTTGCTCCAGCAATGCTGAAAACCTGCCTGACCAACTCTGTATCAACCAATATTCCCCTCTCAGAGAAGGGATTACCTTCTGCAAATTTCAGTTGGTTAAAACAACTGAACAATGAACACATTACGATCTCAGCAGACTGGAAAATACGGTCCCGAGTTTTAAGGGTCTGTTAATTAACACGTGCTGTAGCACAATGTAATTTCGCAGGTCAGACAAATGCAGAACTACAGCGTGCTTAGATGTAAATCTCAAAGCAAAGTTATTACATCCTACTTTGTTATCAACTGATAGCCATTGATAGTTATCAGTTTAATAGCTAAATCACATCTGTAAGAGAAGCGTTTTGTCATGGTATTGGAAATGAAAGAGAATATAGTTAACAGCTCAAATTATGACTATGGTGAATTCCTGCACTTTCCCTCGCTGTTTATGCTAAGTGTAGGTCTGTTTAAGTGCTCGCTGAGCTTGGGTTATGCTGTGTTTTATTCTGGACAGTTCTGTCCCCTATTTTTTTGGTGGGGATTACAGGTGTAGATTCCTTTCTGATCATACCTTGCATCGTTACAACTGCACAGAAGTGGTGCAGGGTTGGCACGTTCACAAGGGATAAGGCTGCAGGGAATCTGATCTAGTGTCTTTCCCTAAGGAGCAGGCTCTGCTGCTTATTCTGCTTGTGGAAAATTCACACCTATAATTTCTTCATATTTGTTATTTTCCTGTTCTACATGATGGGACTAGAATGTGTTTACTGCAGCGACAGCACATTATTTGGGTGCCTTAAGTGCAAAAATTTGACTTTAAAGGCCACAGACATTTATATTCCTCTCATTAAATACAGTCCAAGAGGCACCTGTGTTTCACCTTGAAGGTTTTACTACATTGACACTTCAGCTGACGCTATAAAGCTTCCTCTGCGTGTGAAAATATATCGAAAACTTGGCGTAGTAAATAACTAAAAGATATTAGCAGCAGTGAACAAGGCAACTAATAAGAAAGAGAGCCTCGCAGCACCTAAGTAAGTTAAACCCATGGTAAATGATAGCCTCCTTCATCATAAACCACTTCTCCCTGACTTGACAAAATGTAAACTTTCAAAATAAAAATAAAAAAGATGAAATAAAAAAAAATGAGGAAAATAAATTGCTGGGGGTAAGAGTGCTGGCAGAGAGCCACCAAGGTAAGAGAAATTCTGCCTTCTCTCTCACATGAAACTAACAAAACTGGGGATGAAAGGAACATGAAAACCAACGAAACTTGTGACAGTTTTTGAGGTCTGCATGGCTTGAAAGGAGGTATTTCATTTCAGAAAACTGAAAGACATGAGGCTCCTTACTTACGCCAGCCATTTTACAACCATACCTTTCTCTACACCTAAGAAAGCCTTTTTTAAATCCTGGGAAACAGGCTGGGGGTGGGTAGAGAGTCTTCTACTTTGGTTCATCTAGAACACTAATTCCAAACATCAGAGGTAGTTACAAATACAGAGAGAGTTACAAAATCGTACAGCAAGTCATGCCTGCCAAGCCATCATTCATCACAATGACATCATAACCTTGGAATGGAACAAAGTTTAAAGCTTTCATTTTTCTTTTTCTCTTTCTCTTGTCGCTGTCGTATAAAAGGAGCATTAGACACATCTGCTTCATAGCCCCAACTCCCCCTCCACTGCCTGCAAGGAGAATGAATGCCTTGAGGGAAAACACCATTAAGAAGAAGAAGAAAAAAAAGAGAGAGATGGAGCTGAAGTTGTAAGAGGTTATTTGAAATCCAAGCACATTGTTGAATCTGTTGAGTGAAACAGTAAAAGCAGGTGAAAAATGTGCTCAAATTTGATCTGTTGCAGTTATCACTAGCACTCGCTGTGAACCACTCAGCCGAATGAGTTTTTCCACTGCCACAGGATGGCGTTCATAAGTAATCTTCATTGTCCTATTAACTGCATCTAGCTATTTGCTCTGAATAGGGAAGTTTCAATATCTTGTAGCAGAGCAGAGAGAGATGATATTCAGCTCCCTTACACCAGCACACAATTGGATGAAATCCATTATGATAAATAGACTTATTCTGGTGTAAAATTGAGCAGAACAGTTAGCCTGTCCTCTCAACTGAGCTTACCTGCTTCATTCTTATTCATCTGCCTTGAACTCTGGGGAACGGGTAAATAGTTGAAAGAAAAGATATCTAAACAACAAGAGTCTTTTTTTTTTTTTTTTCCTGGAGAAATAAAGGTCTGATGTAGTTTTTGCACAGAACTTATTTCCATCCTAAGGTTAGAGCAAATGTTCCTTACCACAGAGGTCAGTTGTGCAGCAAACTTGTCCAAGGTGCCTCCTGAACAGTTTTTGGCAGAAGAGTCCAAGAACTCATTGACAGAGGAAGACTGAGCAGTGCCAGCAATTAGTCTGCTGGGTGACAATGATTGCTCCTGTAAGAGACGCATTCTTGAACCTAATATGGAAAAGACACTTCTCAAAACATAAAATTCCAAGCAGCATTTTGCTTACAGCGAGCAGAAAGAAAGTTGCATTTGCAACTGTGAACTGGCTTTTGGTGCCATTCTGGATTTGCAACAGATAACCATGAAAGTTAAAAAGGATATTAACTATTCAGTTGCCCCAAAACCTTTTAAACTTCACAGATACAATTAATGTAGTCCCTCAATACTTAGGCAAATGAAAACAATGACAAATCTGAGAAGAAACCCATCACACTATATTTATTGATTAGGAAGAGGTGTTTAACCATACAGACAAGTTCATTTTGTTATGCATACTCTCATATGTCCCGCTCTTATGACTTTAAGCTAATTGCAGTCTGTCTATTTAGGAGTTTTGACTTCCTCAGAGTTCTTAGAATCTGACGGGGGATGGAGTGGGAAGCCTTTCCTTCTGCTACTTAGCTAAATTTCACTGAACAAAAAAATGCCAAGACTTGCACCACTGCTGGATTGCAAGGAATCAAACCTGAATGTAAGCTTACAAGTAAGATACTTGTAAGTACACTCTTATAAATATTGCTACACGATAGTTTTTGCAGAAATTTAATCATAAGAAAGGTTTAATTGCATTGTGTGCCAAATCACATAGGACTAAGAAGTCACATGATACACACAATGGGAGTAGACATTCAATCCATATGCATGTTCATATACTAAATATGGTTATTTTTCTTGATATATGCATTTATAAAAAAAAGTTTCAACAATCCTCAGATGACTTGCTGCCTAACCATTATATACCTGTTTGTAGCTGCCAGGAAACCTGGTGTTAAGTAGAGAGGAGACAGGACTTGAGATTCGTGGTCTCTGTTTCAGTCACGGTAAATTACTCATTTTGACATTGAGTAAGTAGCAGAACCCAGCCTTCAAAGGTGCAGGGCTTCACACTGCCAAAACTTCAGTGGGATTTCTGGTGCCCAGCATCCCAAATAATCAGTCTTTAGCATAAATGTCCTTTTTCTCATTTGTAACATACAAATAGCAACGCATACTCCACAGGACTGCTGTGAGATATAATTAATGGTTGCATAGTACCAGGCTCTGTGGATGAAAGCTGCTAATGCAAGTACAAAGCATTATCAGCTCTGCAATATATTAAATTTCGGCTATAAAAAGTTTGTAAAAAAGAACTTATCTATTTTCTCCAGTATTTTTACTCTATACACGAGCGAAAGATCTTGCAGAGCAGCTCATTAAAAAAAGAATTAACAACCTATCATAATCTCGCAGAACCAATCTTTCCCCTGCTACTATCTTACTAAAAATGTCCATATTAAAGACAACCTTGAGGCAAGTTTTTAAAAATAAATTATTTCACACAGTCCATAAGAAGGAATGATCGCTAGAGATAGGATAGTTAAATTTATTTAAACACCTATAAATGAAGCTCTAAATGAATTTAATGGTGCATAGTAAATTTAAAAGTTACTTCATGGACAGCAGAATTGCCAAAATCCAGTGCTGTTAATGAAGTTTCTCTAAATAGCAACAAGCCACTCACTGAAAGAACTCAGCTACTGAGGAACACAGAGTCCTTTAAAGGAACTTCAGGTATGTACATACATATCTTTAAAAATACCACAATTATACACAAATCTTTTATCTTTACTCCTTTTTTTCTTCTTTCCTGATAATCTAGTTAGGGTTTTGGTGGGTTTTATTGCCTCTCAGGACAAAACATCTCCAGTGGTTTTAAGACAAATAAGTAACAAGACTGTAGTCATTAAGGCAAGGAATTCTTCCTCCTGACTTCAAACAAATGTGCTAGCTCTAGAAATGAAAATAAAATCTACATAGATTAAGATTAAATAAGATTCTTCAGAAAAAGTACCCACTGCTGTGGCACTGAGGTGCCACAATATGAGTAGAAGCTTTTTCTTCTCCACTGGGAAATCTGTATTTATTAATTCTTTCAGGATACAAAATTACTTGAACTGATGAACTGATGAATTTTGCACTATCCTTTATTAACATTTTCAGACATTTTTGCCCTCCCTTCATCTGCTTTTATTTGCAGCCGTCTGAGCCACACAGAAGGTCATGAGTATTGGCTCCATGCTACTTCAGAAACTGATTACTCTCCAGTTGCAGTGGATCTAAGCAAGACAGCCATAAACCACAGAGGCTCTTAGAGGAAAGAGTTCACATAAATGAGTGTGTTGTTAGTCCATGATGTGCAATATCTTATAACTATAATATCAGTTTCTTATTTCTTTTTCCTCCATATTTTAGAGACCATATTCTGCTTTTATCTTAACTGGTAACCTGCCCTGTCTGGAATAAATACATGGGATAGAGCTGAGTTCTCTTAGATCTCACAAGCTAATCTTAGTTAATCTTAGTTAAGGGAAAGACCAGAAATGGACAGATGAGAGCTAAGTTGGCCATGACTGCTTTGTGCAGCAGCACATGCTTGGGTTAGGCTAAAGTAATCATGAGGCTCCAACCTTGGTGGTTCAGGTAGTGAAAGGGTTGTTTTAAACACAGGGCCAATCATTTGGTTTACACCACAGGCTACTCAGCTGGGTTTACACCAAGTGTGTAGCTCCAAAAGTACTTGGAGTGAATTATTAAGCTGCCTCCATTCATCTTACTATCCTTGTTTTCATATAGCTCTTTATGCTTCTGGCTCTCCTGGGGGAGAGTGACAAGAAAGCTCTGAGTGCCATGCCCTTTTCTTGCTGCTCAAGAGTTTGATAGGCACAAAGCTCGCAGCCAGGGACACATCTGGGTTGTGATTCATCTGGAATGAATGGGAGATCCTCGGCCCAAAAGCATCCTCACAAGAGTCAGGTAACTCACTTTCTACATATTATTGCCTCAGGGCACACAGTGCTGTAAAATATGTGGAAAGATGTCCATTAAAGATTTACATCCCAGGGAAGAAAAAGCCCAGGAGACCCATTACAGAGCAGCACAGAGAGCTTTCAGAGACAAGCAGTCTCACAGGTTGCATCAGTCCCAGATTTTAATTCTTGTAACAAATAAGTTGGAATGCTTTACTGACAGAAGCAGCAGTATGTGCCTAGACACAGTACCTGTTCCTGCTTTGCTGTTCAAGTCTTGACTGCTATCAGAAACTGCAGGTGGCTCCAAACCCAGGTAGGCCTTTATCAGGAACCTCAGTTCTGTGAACGCCTCATCCAATTCATCTGCAGAAGGAGTAAGAGTTTCACAAAAATCAACGTTTCTTCAGTACAAAGACAGAAAGCACAGAAGCCTGAGACAGAAATGCATTCATAAGTCATCTAGCTCATCTATTTGGGAGAAAAATCTTCATAAACAGCACATTCAAGCAAATAATCTGAAATTCAACTCAGTTCTGGCTTTCTGCACTCAACTAAATATTCTCCTACAGTTTGTGTTACTGTGTTTTGCTTTATTTTTAAAAGCTATATTTAAACTGTAAGCTGCATATTCTGTGATCCAAATGCCCTCAGCAGTAACTATAAATAGTATTTTTCATACCACGATGATATACATATTTCACCATCACTGTGAGGAACCACAAAATCACCTCCACAAAAAGGGCACAAAGGGAATGAATTAGACTCCTCTCCACCATCTGTTACTCTCAATCCCTCAATATCAAGAAGCAAACATTGGTTTTAATGAAATATTGACCACTCACACATTCCTTGTCTCAGGCTGGGGGATTTGAACAAGTTACTAAGTGGAAGAGTCCTAAGAACAAAATCTTTGCAGCAGCCTCTCCTTTATAGTGAGGCTGCACATCAGCTGTCATTTCCACACTTGAAAAGAGCCTATCTGCTCCACAGATAATTAGACCTGTTAGGTCAAAAGCACTTCTGACCTCTGTCCAGAAACCAACAGGTAATTAGCACTGAACATCCGATTAACATTCTCATGGGAGACAATACTTCGAGCCCCTGAGTTCAATTATTTGCTTTGCTTTCTAGATGGACTTTAAGATAACTTGGACATAGCAGAGTAACTCAGTCCTAACAGACCTACAGAGCTTTTAGATTCTTGGGGCAATAATTAACAAGGCAAATCAATCTATTGCTGTAAAAGTCCATCTATTGCTGCAATTTTAGGGGTCAGTTTTATAGTATGAGATTAACTCACCTGTGTTCACAACTGCATCAAAGTATCCTGGAAAATCCTGACTTATTTTGATGTACATGTCCACTCTGGATACTGCCTCTACAATCTCCAGCCTGCTGAATAATCCTGTCCTCCGCAGATGTCCCTCGTATTTTTGTTTGTTCATTGGTACCACCAGGATATATCTGGGTTTAAAGTAGGTATTTTTCAAGCTGCGCACACCCTTTAAAATCAAACAGAAAAATGCAATGTTTTGTTCCTGAACCGGAGTGCCTTTTGAATGTATAGCTGAGCTTTGGACAACTCTGTCCTGAATGCCAAGTCTCACATCTGGCATTCAACTTTATAAAAGAAGCAAGTTCAAAAGGATACCTGTCTGCGTGCTAGGACCTTCAAAAGCCAAGGTCTTATTAAATGATGCACGTAATGGTACCAATCCTGAATTTACAAGTTTTCCTTTGCACCAACTCATACTTTGAAGAATGTTTTCTCTCTCCCTCTATACATACAAAACAGAACATTGCAATCACGTAGCCCTGTAACATGCTATCACCACTGCTTGTGACAGGCCACAAGATTCCCACCAAGTTTTCAAGGCTTCAGGACTCAGCCTTGTCCTGCTGTCTGAAAATTTCTTTGTTTGACTTGCCTGTAGCTTTGTTTTACTTGGCTTAGCAGTGCCAGCAATTCCTCTTGTTGACCAGGTGTCTTTATCTAATTTGTTTTACTTTTATCTATGTGTGGTAAAGCCATAGTTTTATAGAGATAGCTGTAACAAGCCCTTGTTCCAGGTAGAATTAGGTGTTTATGACTTAATGTGGATAAATCCAGGCCTGGCACGATAGCAGAGACCTTGAGAAGTGGAGACACAAGACGATGTAAAGGAGCACAGGCATGGAACGATAAGAGAAGGGGCATGGGCTTGACACCAGAGACCTCGCAGCTGTAAACATGTCAGTAAGGGGCAGTTAAAAAAAAACAGACCTGAGGCTGGACAAAACTGGTTTTAGGGCAAACAAGAAGAAATAGTAACTGGCATAACAGACACTGTATAATAAATTCAGATGTAACCTGGGGCTGCAGACCAACGGAGAATAAGAAAGGTGTAAATGTGCATTACCAAATGTATAAATAAGACCCCAAGAGGATCCTGGGAAGAGAAAGAAGAGACTATCAACACAAATATCCTTCCAGCAAAGGACCTGGGTGTTCACAACTCATTGGAACTCCCCCCCAGTAACAGCAGCAGAGGGAAACCACCAACCTTAGAGCCCAAAGGGGCAGTGAAAGGGTGAGCACAACACCAGGAAAACAGGCAGAAACCAAGGAGTATGTGTTACAGTTTTAATTGTATTACAAATTGTGACTTTTTCAGTGTATAAATACTCTAAATTATTCTACTTCTTCCTGTAATAATTAGACCTAGACTACTAATGATTAGACAACTAATGTTTCTTTTTTTCTGATCAAGAAATAATTAAAAAAACGATTTGTATGATCTACACAGGAATGGAAAGGCAGTCCATCCGTAGTTTGGGATGGTTTGAGGAGGAGAAAATAAATGAGTGACTGTCTAATATGAAATGGAGAAAGTGACCTTAGAATACAGAATAGGAAAACGCAGGAGCTGATTCTATTTGAAACCAAAGAGATACCTGGAAAAAAAAAAAAAAAAAAAGTAAATCTGAGTTTCCTGAAATTGAAAATGAGGTCACGAACGATCAAAGGGCTGCCTGAGTTGAAGATGCCCATCCATTTACCATAGCTCCATCTCTTCAGTTTACAACACAGGGTAACAGAAAAGATGCAACTAGCATTTTATCCTGCTTCCTTTGACTCCACAGCCCAAATGACTGGATAACCAGCAATAAGAGTAACAGAGAGTGGTTTCTGGCAGGAGCCACGGTGTACCCACATTTCTGGAAGCATAATGAGCCACATGAGCCACTCTGTCACTACACCCTTGGCTGGCCCACGCAGATCCTTCAGTTACTATCGAGATATTCATGGCCAGACAAGCAAAGGAAAAGCACTGCAAACGTGCTTTCTCCAGTACAAACTGTGTCAGAACTGCAGCAGCTTCACAAGTTGCAAGTGTGGACTCAGCAAGATTTTACTGTTAAAATTTGTGTCAGTCTCCTTTATCGGTAAAAGATATACTGTAGATTAAAGGGAATGAACAGCTCTAAATTTTTAGTCTCAACCCACGGACCATAATTAAAATTTCTTTTAATAGTGCTAAATCACTTTTGTTATGAGCCTAGCAGAAGATAATGGAGTTGGATAACTTCTATTCACACACATAACTCACCATTATTGTTTCCAATCTGCTAGCAGAGTCCAGAGTGATACAAGACTGTGCATAATGACTACGTGATCCTGAAACTTCATTGACAAAGGAGTTTCTTAGCTGTCCGTCCACGACAACAGCTTCAGTAATATCCAGTAAAAAATATGAACACTGTCCATGTCACTGGGCTAACCTCCTTATGAATAAACATGAATTTCCATTAAATTCTTTCTCCTAAATTATTTGATAGCACATCTACTTTGTGAAGAACTGACAGTTTTAAAAGGCACCCCACTCCATCATATTTCATCTTCTCCTATTTTTCTCCCCTTGTAAATTCAGGGTCTGCCTGGCAAGACAACAAACATATTTGATGCCTATTGCAATCAGTGGAGACTGAAGGTGATTCACAGTTCTGACAAGACAGGGGGGAAAGAAGAAATGGATCTACACAGAGATTCAAAGTAACAGGCCCTTAAGAGCAGGACTGCAGCACTAAATTGTTGACCATTTGAGCAAGGAGCTACTAGTTTATTTATTTTTGTCCCTGACATGCTGCTATTCCGTTATTTGTATGTCCCTATTCAAGCCAATAAACACGTACAGACTCTTTTGACTTACAAAGGATCCAAAACTCCTTCCAAACACTCAGGTTCTTTTCTAAAAACTAGGTTTTCAATCATCAGTTTCACAAACTAATCATCCTACACGAATGAAACTGAACATCAATTTTTGCTCAAGTGTCCCTAGTCCTTCCCCTAACTTAGGAACCTAAGTCAAAACTGCAGTCTCCTACATTTATTTCTTTTAAAACCTCTATTTTTCCCCATCTATCAAGGAGTGCAGTAGCATCTACAGACTTGTAGTAAACTCCCAGAGCTGAGCCCTGCAAACACACCAAAACCCAGCAACAATCAGCATCATATTTTGGGCACTCCACAGAGTGTCTCATTCTAAAAGCTCATATAGATGAAGTTTATTTTGTAGAAAGAATTTGGAAGGAAATGAAGCCTGCCTTTCATTTTTGTCACCTCAATCCCTAGCTAGCAAGCCTTCATCTAAGATAATGAGAAGTACTTAATTAGAAAATTAGCTAAAAAGTTATTCTTTGGGGATTCCAGCAGACAGGTTTTGATACTTTGTCATGACATCGTTTCCTACTGCACCACAGACTCCTGACATCCTGCCATCTGTGCATGTGCACCCAACAAATCTCAGAGAGGGTAAAGCAATCCTTCACAGAGACTGCATCGTTTAACAGTTCTGCCCAAAATATTGCCTCTGGCCTGCATGCATCCTCCACTGTTTCAACGGAAAGGAGAAGCATGACATCCTTTTATGTGGGGTTTAGTAGGCATGCAGCTCTCGAGTAATTCACCTAAAAGTTGGGGATAGGTGGACAGAACACAGATGAAGAGCTGAGGGTACTGTGATGGAAATACTGGAGACATGGTGGGGAGATAAGGCTACTGAAATTGAAAAACCTGACTAAGAAATTTTAAGCAGCCAGCTGTAAGACACATCTGACTAAATGTGGGTATCTATAAAGGAAATGCTAGGTACTGTTGATGTACAGACCATGGAGAGCTACTTGATGCAGGCAGAGGAATTACAGATACAGTTTATCTGACTAAACAGCTGTATTTAGTGTTAGGTCAGAGGTTGGACTTGATGATCTTGAGGTCTCTTCCAACCTAGACAATTCTGTGATTCTGTGATCTCCAGTGACACTAAGGCAGCCCACACAACGCATCCAAATCTACCAGCAGCAGTGGTAGGCTGGGCAGAAGGCATAGGATGTCTCTTATCACAGAATCACAGAATCACAGAATTTCTAGGTTGGAAGAGACCTCAAGATCATCGAGTCCAACCTCTAACCTAACATGAACAGTCCCCACTAAACCATATCCCTAAGCTCTACATCTAAACGTCTTTTGAAGACTTCCAGGGATGGTGACTCCACCACCTCCCTGGGCAGCCTGTTCCAGTGTCTCACAACCCTTTCAGTAAAGAAGCTCTTCCTAACATCTAACCTAAAACTCCCCTGGCATAACTTTAGCCCGTTCCCCCTCGTCCTGTCACCAGGCACGTGGGAGAACAGGCCAACCCCCACCTCGCTACAGCCTCCTTTAAGGTACCTGTAGAGAGCAATAAGGTCGCCCCTGAGCCTCCTCTTCTCCAGGCTGAACAAGCCCAGCTCCCTCAGCCGCTCCTCGTAGGACTTGTTCTCCAGGCCCCTCACCAGCTTCGTCGCCCTTCTTTGGACCCGCTCAAGCACCTCGATGTCCTTCTTGTAGCGAGGGGCCCAAAACTGAACACAGTACTCGAGGTGCGGCCTCACCAGAGCCGAGTACAGGGGGACGATCACCTCCCTAGCCCTGCTGGTCACAGTGTTTTTTATGCACGCCAGGATGCTGTTGGCCTTCTTGGCCACCTGAGCACACTGCTGGCTCATATTCAGCCGACTGTCCACCATCACTCCCAGGTCCTTCTCTGCCTGGCAGCTCTCCAACCACTCATCTCCCAGCCTGTAGTTCTGCTTGGGGTTGTTGCGCCCCAGGTGCAGGACCCGGCACTTGGCCTTGTTAAACTTCATGCAGTTGACCTCAGCCCATCGGTGCAGCCTATCCAGATCCTCCTGCAGAGCCTTCCTACCCTCGAGCAGATCGACACACGCACCTAACTTGGTGTCATCTGCAAACTTACTGAGGGTGCACTCAATGCCCTCGTCCAGATCATCGATGAAGATATTAAAGAGGACCGGCCCCAGCACCGAGCCCTGGGGGACGCCACTAGTGACTGGCCTCCAACTGGACTTGGCTCCATTTACCACAACTCTTTGGGCCCGGCTATCCAGCCAGTTTCTAACCCAACGAAGCGTGCGCCAGTCCAAGCCAAGAGCAGCCAGTTTCTTGAGGAGAATGCTGTGGGAGACGGTGTCAAAAGCCTTGCTGAAGTCAAGGTAGACCACATCCACAGCCTTTCCCTCGTCCACCCAGCGCGTCACTTATGTCACTAAGTTGCTATGTCTAGGCTGCTGAAGCAAACCTTAGTGAAAGTGCATGATTTTTTTCCCCAGCAGAGTTCTCACAAAATGACTTACTCAAAAACGGTTAAGCAATATGCAATCCTTACCTCTATTTCTAAGTGAACACACGTTGCAAGGCCCTCTCTGGCAATTGATTCCACAGTGTCTCTTCCAAGGCCGTAGGAATAGCCACTGTATTTAAAGGTTGCTATAAACTTCCCCTGAAATTCAAAACAGCGAGCACGATGACAAAGGAAATATTGTAACGAAAACAACTTTCTTAAAGGAGAGTAATCGCTGAGGACTTCCTCTCTTTCTCTTCCAGCAAAGTTTCTCTCTGCCCAAATCATCAATACTAATGAGGCCGATGGGAGCACGAAAATTGCAGAGAAGAGCAGAGAAGGGCCTGCAGGGTATGGGCTTGTGCATTGTTCATGGATAATAAAACACCAGCGCCTTGAAAACAAGCTGCTGACAGGTTACAGCTTTCATTGGTTATTCAGTCACGCTGTAAAGAAAGCGAGATCTAAAGCAAAAGGGGCATCCTTCTTTTGACATTACATCAAACCATATGGCTACGCCATGTAAAATAGAAGACGCCAAAGAAAAGAGGACAGAAACAATCCTGCACGGAGAATGCATAATTGGCCAAAAAAATTCAAAGTTAATAAGTGACAACTGAAAATTTGGTTCCCAGTAGTATGTCTAGAGAAATGAAGGCAGATTATATTATTTTAAACTCCTCGATTGCTGAGAGTTACCGTTAAGAACCAGATCAGTTGCTTAACGCTGCATTGGCTCCCCTGTTTGCGTATGTACAAATAATGAGCTCTGTTGTGGCTTTTCATGCCAAAGTTTTATTGCAGGCAGCAAAAGGCATCAGAAACAGTAGCTGGAGGCACACTGCCTTCAGAGAGGAAGACAATGCCTTTAGGGGGACAGAAGGGGGGATTTGCTAAACTTTAAAAGACTGCATTCCCTGCAGGGTTGCTGGAAGATTGGGGAAAAAAAAAAAATAAAAAAAAATAAATGGCAGTTATTTCCTGAGTTTTTGGTTCTGGTACCCACACTAGATACTTGCATAGGCAAATAAGCTTCTTTTTACATTATAATACTGTCTAAAAATTCCTGATGACCACTACGCCAACTTAATGGTTTCTATATATGCATACAGAAGAAAAAAAGAGATATAAATGTACAATGAATTTCTGGTTGCTGTGTATGCGCTTAAGCCACATAACTGTGAGTGAAAGGGCAAACAAAGACACAGACTTCAAAAAATAAAACAGTAACATCAGAGCTGGATGGAAAAGTTGAGTTCACACTGACTGTAAGGAAACAGGCGTAGCTGAATGTTCATCAGGTACTCACTGTGCTCAACATTTTGTCAAATGCTTCTTGAGAAACGAAATAGTAATCAAGTCTGTTTTCTTCACCAAAGTAAGCTGCCCTGGTGGTATGACAGGGACTGGAAAATATATAGCATAATAAAGAAATAACCTGTTTTCAATCATAGAAGCAGCTATGGAATAGGAGGGGGGAAAAGGGAGAATACTACAAATCATTTTATTTTTAAGAAGAGAAGAAATATGGGAAATATAAAGAGGTGCAAATCATACCCCTAATGCTGCATATTTGAAAGATTAACCCATAAATACACAAAAAAAAAGTTTAAATGTAACATTACGTTTTGGCTATAAATCCCCTCCAACCCGGGATAGCCTGAGCTGAAGCTGTCACAGGGCCCTGTAATAGAGAAATGCCGAAACCATTTTTCTCCAGGGATGTCAGCTTGTGAATGATATAAAGTAGAACCCTAAACATGGAAAAGGAGACTAGGAGTTAGGCTGACCTCCAAGGTTAAGAAAGAGATATAAAGTCCAATCTTTAAATAGCGCCCCATTATTAAGGGGAGAAACAATCCCCAAACAAGGGAGATAAGTGGGGCACAAGGCAGGAAAAGTAATTGCCTGCCACCACGTAAGGATAATAGGATAAAGCTCAGATATGTGAGCTTATTACCAGGGTGAAACACTAAAACAAAACAGAACAGAACCAAAACAACAACAACAAAAAATGGCTAAGACAGTGAACTTAGCAACTTTGGATTAAACTATTGAGTAACCCATGTTCTTAGGAAATAATATTTTGCTAATCGTTTCTGTTTTGGCTTTGCTTTTAATTTTTACATCGTAGGATACCAGGAACAGAAGTGTGATGGGGAACTCTAGCGTTGATTCACACTGAGAACATTTCATCTCCTTGACTTTTGTTGGGCTACCCTGGAAAACGTGGTAAAAATATCTATATCCCACCTGCTAGTATCCCACCTACTAGGCTCACCCTACATCATCACATTTTTTGCTTGATGATAATGCTACATTGAAAATACAATTATTTAATGCTTTTTCCTGCTCCCCAAAGCATGGGGACTTCTAGAAATACAATTTCTTTCTCTGTTTTTCTTGCTTTCTGAGAATTTTCCTAAGAAAATGGAGAAGCATATACAACCAACAGAAAACAAAAAAAACAAAACAACTTACTCATTTTTCCTCCTTTATATTGAGATCTAACAGCGAACAAATTAATTTTGGTTCATTTATTTAAGATAGCTGAGTTGTAAACCACTAAGAATTTTAGTCTATAACATTGAGCTTGACAGATCTTAATTATCATAGCATTAGAGGGTGACACTTTTTTTTTTTAATCATGAAGATATGGCAAATGAGGACAGTGTGCTACTCATGGACTCTGTAAAATTGCACTTCAGAGGCTTGATTATTTTTTTTAAAGATATTATGAATGCATCCACCTTTAAAGGTCAATCTTGAGTACTATCCAGATGGTTTGAGGGTCCAATTTCACTTTATTTTTTGAAACACTTCTAAACGTTACAACCCTTTTTAATTGCAAGGCCATGTTTACATTCAAACTGCCAGGGTATGTTGCATGAAATACATTTTTAATGAGTGGAATGTTTGAAATTTAAAAGAGTAAGCCATAAAATTGCTTAAATCTCCACTGAATAATTAAAATACAACTTTGCTTTATGGTTGCAATTTTCTGCTCTGTTAAGATTCTGTCGCTATCCCCTTCTTTTCCCCTCATGCATAAAACTTTTAGGAAATAAAATACACAGTATTAAAAACAATGCTCCTAAAAAAACACACACAGTGCTTGGAAAATTTCAATTGGCATTCAGTTAGTTTGTAATTCCTCATCTAGTCATTCAAAACACAGTAGTATCTTTAAAGAAAGGCAAAAAGATATTTTTCCAGTCCCATAGCTTCTCAGATCTTTTCTTAAAACGTCCTTTTGTTTTGCCAGTGTAATGACTTAATTCTGCATGTGGCTATAATCTGAGTACACTGCAGACATGTAGGCTTCTTCACTGCGGATTATTACGTTAGAGAAGAAGGCTACTACTAGACATCCCATCAACACGTAGGTCGTGGTCCTGATGTTAGGAACCCTGAGGAATTATTCTCCTAAATACACAAGCCCATGGTGCTTTTCTTGCAACTGACTTATTCAATACATAGGAGTGCACAAATAGGGGTCCAAGATGTGGTAAATGTTATGACACATATGAAAGCATGGTCAAAGTATGATAAAATTGGATAGAATTGTGTAATTATTAAAAAATAACAACAAAAAAAGAGAAAATAGAGGGGAGACAAAACAATTAGAATACAGGATTTGAGATCAGAGACATGCATCATAGGCAGGACCTACAACAGTTATGTATTGTGGAAAATGGGATGGGTGGACACGAGGAACAGCTTTCACCACCTAATTTTAGGTGGCAGATAGGAATTCTGGCTAAATTAGATCACTGCTATCTAGTGTGTACTGAAAATAGACATATAGCTCAGGTGAGTGTTTCACAAAGGGAAAATCTTCCCTTGAAAGAGCTGGTTTCTCACCACTAAATACCCAGGAAGCCCAAGGCTGCAAGGATCCTAATTCAGGCCTTTCCAAGGGGGAAAATTAGTCCTCCCAGCAGGTGGTGATGTCTGAAAGGTGCTATTTACTTTGATAACACTACTTGCAGGATAATAAACTGGTCCAGCAATTGCGCTTGCTTCCTTGCCTAGCTTCAGGATGCAGCGTGCACGTGCATGCTAATGTGTTTACACCCAGGTACATTCCAAAAATTAAGAGAAATCTATACATATCTAAACAGATGTTTAGGTGGAGGGGCATATGTGAGCAGAGATAGAGCAGATCAATAAAAGGAGCTCTAAATGACACTTTTTGTTTGCTTCTCTGCTGTTCACCTTTGAAAAGAACAAGATAAATTAAACAGCTTTTCTTTTTAAGAAAGTATTTGATGGCTTCAGGCAATCAAGCACCGGGAAAAGATTAAATGCATAGCAACAACCGTTTATAGGTTGTCTTTAACTTTTAACTTCTTAAAAAAAAAGAAAAAAACAGGAGCAATTTCAGCCTTTATCACTGTGTTCTTTTAACCTTAAGAAGCAAACTTACCCAAATCTGAAGAAATTATTGAACTGTCTGCAGATCCTATGAGTAAGCTCTCTTTTACCACAGGCTAGAGGTCCTACTAATACCAGCATGGGGTAGGGAGCATCAAGACTAGGTAGAGTGCTACAAGAAAGGAAAACAAGGAGCCATTATATTAGGCACAAATAAAGTCTTCAGCAACTTTGTATAAAGCCTCTGTGGAGACTTCATCATCATTTCTACTAATCTCATCTGTCTATCACACTGTTCGCATTGTTCGCAGCGTAGACAAAAATTGTGAGAAGTGTGTGCTCAGTTTGATATGTTCCAAACACAAAAATAGCACAAAATACCACATTAAAGACCCCTGGGTCTCTTTTGCCAAAGGAATAATGTTACGTGTACTATAATCTTCTCTGATTTATAGTCTTTTCTAAAGCTCCCTCTGCAGTTACGGTATTGCTGGGTTTTGTTTAAGAGTTTTCCAATTCTATTGCAGGGATGGTAATATTTTAATGATCAGGATAATAAGCCTGGCATGAACCTGGACTCAATCCTACACACCTTTATGCACTCCTGCATATAATCTTGCTGACTTCCACGGCCTTGCCAGATGAAGGTGGCAATTTGTAAAGAGCTCTTCAATTCAGGATAATGAGAGACACTAAGACCCTGAAACTCCTCCGAACACAAATAACACTACAATGAAAGAAAGCAAAGTGTTGCAAAAATACAAAGCCTTCACTTAGGCTCCATTTTCTCCATGCTGAGCAGATGGTTAGATCACCGAATTTCCACTTCCAGCTGTAAAGACCAGAATAAATGGCATTTTTGCAGTTCTGAAAGTCCAGCAATTGAGGCATCTAAAAATGGAATGCAACTTTGGATTCTCATTTTTAAACCTCAGCCAGACTGTAAGATCATGCCACTTGATGACGTGACAGAAGTAGTTGGAATTGTTTCAAAACCACTTAATTTTAACTAATGAGTAGCTTTAACTGGATTTAAATTTTAAAGTGGAAGAAAAACACCTCTGCATACTTAGAGTGCATTTAATGTTATTTAAAACAGGTGGACGTAAATTCCTGAAAACAGATTTTCTTTCTTTTAACTTTTCTCTTACAAGTGCCTAGCTCCGTAAGAAGTAATGATAATCATCCAATATGAGCATGGGGGAAAAATCACAGTAATGGCTTTACTCCTATTTTAGGTGCAGCAAAACAACTCCATTTTCTACCTGATTATATGTACATAATAGGGCTTGATGTTTCAGAAGCACTACGATAATAATGCAATTCAGTCTCCTAATTCCTATGGAGCAGGTAAGTGCTATCCTCTCAGAAGAAATAGCAGACACACCTAATAAATTGACCGGCTGAAGGTTGTACACATGTGCTGTTACTAAACTGTAAAATGAATCCGGATCGTGGTCCAGTGTTCCTTTCTCCAGACTATTTTAAAGCCAGGCAGCAGCAGAACCATTGGGAGATCGAAGGTATTTTTCTTACTGTGCCGATTGGTGACATTTACAAAACAACAGGCAGCATTAGCACAATAAGCTCAATCATTAGCACAATAAGCTCATTAGCACAATATGCTTGGGATTCTAATTCCCTTTTAAACAAATTCCCATTGCTGGAACAGAGGAACACATCCTCAATTTCCTTGGGTTTATTATGTCATGGAAAACACGTACATAATACAACCTCTCATTACATCACCGCTTACTGATTATCAAACAATAACCTAAAAGCTCTGGTTTTCCTATAACTTGTAAGCAGATTGTGGTAAAGAGTCCTTGGCTCATTTAATGTTCATCTTTCAACTTTTCTTGACTTTGGTGAGTAGAACAACACGCTGCTGTGCAAGATTAATAGGTTTCAAGGCCAGAAGGAACTACTGTCATCGTCTAGTCAGCCCCCCTCATCGCACTGGCTACAGGATTTCCCCAAGTCGGTTCTTGTTTCAGGCCTGATACCTGGGGTTCTGTTAGAGCATATTTTAATTACAATGTTCCCGTTGTGGAGAATTCTTGGTACCCCTGGTAAATTTTTCCACTACTTAATTACCTCTGTAACTTTTAACAATGATGTCCTATTTTTTCACTGAATGAATTCATCCTTGATAGCCAGATACCAAGCCTCTTCACATGCTTGCCCGATAGACCGAAGAGCCCACTGTTATTTCATTTCTGCTCCCCATGTAGCAGTTATAACTAAGTCAAGCCTCTTTTTAAACATTGCAAGCGTTTATATTTGGGGTAAAATCTACATAATATTGTGCAGTGATGTGTTGCCACACAATTAAAGAATCACAAGGCACAGAACGAGAGGGAACGGTTAAGAAACTTCATGTTTTCTGACTGGGGTGTGCAACAATATCACTTTTTCCTTTGATTTCAGTCTTTATTTTTAATGGAAATATTACTAAACAGAATTAATTATAATCTCATCTGAGATAGATGCAAATGAACTATACCAATCTGGTTCCAATAGGCATTTTATAGTGTAGAAGACTAACTCATCATCATTAGGATGATTTCATTAATGACTGTGTTGTGTGTTTTCCAGCTGAGCATGGGCAAACATTCAAGGCATCATTAACAATTTTGGTCAGTACCATAAATACTGGTCTGCGTGTTTATATGTTTGTATACACAGCACCACTGATAAGACACAGAATTGTTTTTTTTTCCAGCAATGAAGATGCACAAACACAATCCAATAAACAAATATTTAAACAGGGGCTATGTCTGCACTGGCAAAAATCCATGCCTTCAGGTAAAACTGTTGTGTTTTATTTTTTGAAAAAAAAAAAAAAAAAAAAAAAGAAATCTCCAATCTTGCAAGACAGTCAATAACTGCTTGGCGTTATTTTAAAGGCTGAAGAGCCTTCTTAGAAGCTATCATTGCCACAGGGATGGTATCTATCTTTCATCATCAAGCCCATAAAAAAAACCCACAAGCCATGCAATACAGATATTCTAAAAATTTAAATTGAGTTGCTAAATCATGAATCTTAATCATGAATCTGATGTGTTCAGTTTTGGGCCCCTCAGTACAAGAAAGACATCGAAGCCCTGGAATGTGTCCAGGGAAGGGCTACGAAGCTGGTGAAGGGCCTGGAGCACAAATCCTGTGAGGAGGGGCTGAGGGAACTGGAGCAGAGGGTGCTCAGCCTGGAGAGGAGAAGGCTCCAGGGAGAGCTCCCAGCGGGCTGCCAGGGCCTGAAGGGGCTGCAGGAGAGCTGGGGAGGGACTCTGTGTTGGGGGTGTAGGGATAGAACAAGGGGGAATGGCTTTAAACTGAAGGCAGGTAGATTTAGATTAGCTCTAAGGAAGAAATTCTTTTCTATGAGGTCCCTTCCAACCCAAAGCATTCTAAATGGTGCTAAGACAGGCCGTTGGGCAAAAAAGTTGATCTCAACGCCCATTGTAGTTGATATAATTACAAACCACAAATACATCACAGTATCTTCCATCACGGTGTGTCAAAGCACCTCCCAAACTTTTACCAAGCAAATATCATAACTCATCTGCAGAGCAGCAAAGTATGGTGACTTTCGTCTTCTAGATGAGAAATGAGACAGAGAAGTCACCTGCCACGACAACAGCAATGTCAGAAAGGGAACATTGACTTGTTTCTCTCTTCTGTGCTTTAAATGGCAGCCAGCATGTTCACCTCTCACAGGCAAGAAGTCGCTGGACTTCCTTAAGTATAAACTTGGAAATTTCACCTTATGAATAGAAAACATGCCCCAAAGCCACAAAATAAAGCCGTTTTGCTCACAACGGGATGCCAGTAGTGTGAAGAGGAGTAAGCAGGATAGGAAGAAATGTTTTACAGCTCTCTTCTCTCTCAAGAGACTTTCAAATTGCCTTTGGGTATTGATAGAAATTTTCCATCTTTCATTTATGGTGCAAATGACCATCTGTTTCAACAGATTGTTTAAAAGAAATAGAGTTGTGGACAATCTGTCTCAGACTTCAGAGGTGAATGACTAACTTCATTTCATAATCAATTTCAACCAAACAAGATTTGCCTAATTTCCAGACTGCTAAAAAAAAAAAAAAGAAATACTGTGGAACATCTCCTCTTCATTAGATTAATTTAAAGGTGGGAGAGGGACAGAAAAATGTCCCTCTAAATATGACAACACATTCTGCTTTACTTGAGTGCCACCCTCAGGAGCAGACGTGAAGTGGAGGTAAGTTTACCTGTCAAAGATCCGCTGGGGCTGCAGCATGCCATACATAATCTGAGTCATATGGTCGTTAGCAGCGACAACTTCTGGAGGAGGATCGTATTTATTCACAGCATCAACCTGTTTCCAGAGTTTAGGAGAAAAAAAAAAAGAAGAAGAGTAGTGATGTAACTGTTCCCAGCTGTAATATGCTTCTCAGATCACTATGAGTAACGATGGCCTCATGTTTATGAGGGTCAGTCTTCATATTTGGCTTGTCTGTAAGCACTCCGCTACATAAATCTTTTCAGGAGATTTAAACACAATTTGATAGATGGGTGGAAGGCAGCCAGAAGTAGCTCACCATCATTAATATATTCAACCTTTTACTGGAAAGAAAACAGGATGCTACACAAGATATAAAGTAATTCTGCTTAGGTTTTAATTATCCATTAATTTGCATCTTTTCATGCTAGTGGAAGATGCCAAACTAAAATCCTTAGGGACTGAAGCCATTCATTTATTTGTTAAAAGAGGAATGGAATGGGCATTAATAACATAAGCAAACTGCAGTTTTCTCCTGACAATGCATTTCTGTCTTTCCAGGAGGAAAAGCATTCAAACTCCAAGGATTCTCCCCATTCATTCTCTTAAAATTCTATTGAGGGTACTGACCTCTATTGGGCTGTATTTATTTATTTTTATTATTAATGTTATCCACTCCTAGAATATCCTGAGGAGAGGATTTTCTGAAATAACTTTAATCATCCAAAAGTTAATGCTTGTCTAGATCAGTCATCTAGGCTTACTTTTACAGTCCAAAAAGAAAGATTTATTTAATGGATTCTAAATGTTGTTGGAAGGAATGCAGACTGACACATAGGAAAGAATAAGATCAACATCTCAGGTAGGTGGGGTAAATTACACTCTGATATCATCCATTCTCTGTGCTCATGATAGCAAGAGCCTAGCACTAAACAAGAACCCTGATACTTATGCAACTAAAGTTAGGAGTGACGAATTACCTTGAAGGACCACTTTTTGAGAATACTTCCTTCATATCCAGCCCCAATTTACAACCTTTAATCCCAACAATTCTAGCACGGCTCCCAAATGCTACACAGAGCAACCAAATTATACCAAAAACAGCATGAGAGGAAATGTTTTCTATTAGAACAGAATGTTACTGTAAGCAGTCTGAGGAGTTTTTTTTGGGGAAAAAGATTTGACTGAGAAAGCTGTATGGAGTAGAATTGGAACCAACCATCATTGTAGCTTTCAGAGTTCACTCTGCAGTACACAGCATTGAAAAAGAACAACAGTATTCTAGAGGTTGCCACATAGTATTTCATGAGCATAGATACCTTTTTAGCTTCACTAACTGCTAAATAATGGCTGCTAAATAAATATTTCTTTATGAAGCAAAGCTTTTATTGAGTTTTGCATTTTTACATACTACAAATGCTCCAGAAATTCTGTAGATACACAGCTTGATTTAGAAACAAAAGTCTATCTTGTAGCCTGAAAGAAGGGAGATTTGTGATACCCAAATGTGAACAAACCTGATCTACATGCATTGTTTTTTTGTATTTGCATTCTTTATTCAGAAAAAAATCCAGAATGATATGCTTACACACCTTCTCTTCCACTGAAATCTTCTTGAGATCCAGTTCTGTTAATTGTGGCAACATGAATATCACCGAGAGCCAGTAATCTGTTTGCTCCTGAAGGAAAAAAAATTCCACTTTGACATAAAGTGCATAACTTCATCAGGCTAATATTTAATTTCCATTGGCCAAAGTTAAATTGGCCTTAATATATTGCAATATAAAAAGCTTTTTACCCTGAAGGATGTCAATACACTGTACAAGAACACCCCTCCTTCCCCCCATAAGCATTACTTCTACAACAAAACCTAAAAGCTGTTCAAAAGTCTGCAATTACATTGTTCAAAAGGTCAGGATGGGAATTAAAAAAATAAAAAGAAAAAACACACCACCATACACACTAGAACACCAAGGAAGACTGTTGGAGAACAAAAAACCATTATCTATACTGGACTATGTAATAAACTATATCTAATACTTCTGACCTTTGAAGAACTATAGGAATTTAAAAGGGAATTCACATTATAAATTCATTGTGATATATGCTTTTAAGTCTGAGGCAATAAAAAAGAATAATTAAAAAGCAAATAAAAAGCTGTTACTGATAACTGAAATTCAAATGGCAGTATTAAGATGATGTTTGTGTACGTTACTAAAATAGTAATTTAAAGGAATGGGATGAGAATCTGCTTTGGAGGAGGTCGTCTAAACAGAAAAAGGGTTTCAAACTGTGGAGGAGGCTCAGGACAGCCTGTTTCAGGCATTTTTTTCCTGCTAATTTCATCGTGCACCACAACAGATCATTCTCAAGAAAGTCAACATAAACCTGGCCATTACAGGAAGGAGAAGTTAAACCCTTAACATTTTTCTTCTGACACAGGAAGTATCTCTGGGTGAGGTTTGTGAAGATTGTGTGATGAATACATATTTTAATAAGAAGTCTTAAATATGCATTTCACAGAGGCAAGGGGTGACATGTACTGGGTTTATGGTGAGGTTTTGGTAGCGAGGGGGCTGCAGGAGTGGCTTCTGTGAGAAGAGACCAGGGCAGTGTTCCAGCTGGCTCAAAATGGAGCTGGCCAACACTGAAGCCACTCCAAAGATGCCTCTGTGCTAATATATAGGAAAGGGTAAGAAACATTGCGCAGCAGTTATGAGAGAGAGGTGAGAGCAATGTGAGAGAAAACCCTGCAGACACTTAGGTCAGTGAAGAAGGAGGGGGAAAGAGGTTCTCCAGGTGCTGGAGGAGAGGTTCCCTGCAGCCCATGGAGGACCGCATGGAGCAGAAACCCACACTGAAGCTCATGGGGGACCCCACACAGCAGCAGGTTACGTGTCCTGAAGGACCTGCATCTCGTGGAGAGCCCGTGCTGGAGCAAGCTCCTGGAAGGAACTATGTTCCACGCAGGACCCTTGCTGGAGTAGGCTGTCCCTGAAGGACTGCACCCCATAGAAAGGAGCCATGCTGGAGCAGTTTATGAAAGACTGCATCCCATGGGAAGGACACCATGCTGGAGTGGGCAAAAACATTAAGGAAAAAGGAGCAGCAGAGACAAAATGTTATGAACTAACCACAAGCCCCTGTTCCCTATGCCTCAGTAGGAGGAGAAGAAAGAAGAGTCAGGAGTAAAGTCAAGCCAGGAAAGAGGGCAGACAGGAGATGTTTTATCTTTTTTTCCTTAGTATCTTACTCTTTTTTTTTTTTTTTTTTAAATGGCAATAAATTAAATTAATCTTCCCCAAGTCAAATTTGTTTTGCCCATGATCATAACTGGTGAATGATCTCCCTGTCCTTATATTGACCCATGAGCTTTTTCATCTTATTTTATTCCCATCTTGCTAAGGAGGGAGAGCGAAAGAGCAGCTTGGTGGGCACCTGGCGACCAGCTGAGGTCAACCCACCATAAGTTCAGACAATTTAGAAATCACAAAAGTCAGGACACAATCATCTTTGGTTATTCAGGACAAATTATAAATACAGAGTCAGTATTTCTGATGTTGTGTAAATGTCACTGTCATTGATAAAATGGATGTTTGATTCATTGGTTGAAGAGTAACATGGGAGCCATAAAAGAGAACTGAGTAAATCCTAAAGAAAAGCAGATACAGATTCCAGAGACACATGATTTTTAAATGGTTACTCTTAAGTTCCTTTGAGCTTTTCCCACAAACAAGTCTGTACCTTCAGAGCAAACGAAAGAGGGTTCTCCTACCAAACAATAATAATTAAAATAATAAGAAATATAAAAATAATTGCATAATACGAATACAAAAGTATAAATGGATTCACAGGCAGGATTAATCAAATTCATGGATTTACTGCATGGATATTAAACATGATACATATGCAGCATTTGGTCAGGAAGTTCCCCAAAAAAGGTGGGTAACCATGCCAGGGGAACCATCATTCATTCTTGCCTTGTTTCATATACCCATTCCTAGATGTCCTGATCACTCTCAGAGACAGAAAAGGAAGCTAAATGGATTATGGTAGGATACAAAAGACCAGCTCTAGATTCATATTTTTTGCTTTGTCTTTACTCCTTTCTTACCTGTACAGGATTTTGTAAAAGATTTAAAACTCGGAGGAGAGGCAGATCTTGAATATATTCAAGTTCACCCAGTTCAGCAATCTAATTAGTGACAGAAACAGAGCATAAATTAGCAGCAACAGAATCCACAATAACTACAGGGAAAAAAAATAAAAAAAGAAGTTCTCTGATTCTTGTTCTTAAAATCTGGAACTAAAAAAAAATATCATTATACTCACAAAATGGGTATACATGTTAACTGCCTTCAATAAGGCACTTGGATTCACAAAAGGCAGACAACTCGGATGTTAGCTGCAGAAGCAATATTACAGACAGTAATTTCGAACCACCTGTGTTTTTCCAGTTCTTTCAAATGTCAAGCCATAACACATTTAGCTTTTATGTGGCTGATGTGCTTAAGTGAGGCAATTCTGCGGTTATATTTGCGCTTCATGACTAGCGCAAAAAATTCCTTCTAAGAAGAGTTTCCTTTCACTGGAGCTCCAGTTCATCCCACCTAACTTTCAGCACTTAACTGAAAAGCATCAGCAGATTTGTCCTTGCCTCTATTTACGTCCGGAGAGTAATGCATCCCACTTAAGGACTCGTGCACAAAGAAGATCTGCACTCAGCCACTTCAGTGAGTTATTAGAAGTTGTGTGTTAATCGAAGTTTGAGTGCCTGAAGCAAAGTCAGACTAGAGGCATTCATACCAGACCCTGAGTGAATAGTTGTATGGCTACCAATTGAAACAAAATGGATCAAATGGGTCATGTTGCTTCGTTTTAGCCACCTGTAAGGTAGCCCAGATCAGCCACTTAACACGATTTTATAATCAGTGGAGAGAGCCAGTTCCAGAGACCATCTGATCCATGCTAGGCTGGGATGAATTGCCTTGTAAAGGTGCCTGATTGAAAGACTGAACCATCCCTAACTTCTAGTTGGCTTATGTAAGGTGCCTAAGAACACAAACCTTAACGATAGCCTAGACAATATTATTTTTGAGATAACAAGCCCATTGCTGAACAATTTTGACCAGGTTAAATTTGGGTGGATTTCCTAGTAAAGTCATTGAACACCAACATATTTGAAAATCACTGAATAGATATGTGAGAGATACATTCTGCAGATAAACCCATTGTGCCCATTTTTGAAAAAATCAAGCACTTGAGATCATTCTGGATGGTGGTGAGCTGAAACAATTCAGATTATTACAACTCTGAAAATTACTTCCCTACACAAAAAGCTCCAACAGAGTTCAATAAACCTTTTACATCAGGACCTGCAGTAACATTTAGCTTCTCTCTTTATGCAGGGGTCAAAAAACATACACTTTTTGAATTCAGACATTTTAATTCATCACTGAGACTGTGTTTGCTTTAGCGATGTAGTTTTAGTCCTAGAACTTTTGTGTTTTGGGTATTTTTGGTGGGTCACAGCATACATAGCACTGCCTAGATAATAGGCATCTTGCCCCTTACTAGCAGCTAAAAAGGAAAAATAAAGAGCACATTGGCTCAGCACAGACAGCAGGTGGGATGGTTCCAGGCTGAGGGACAATTCTACCTTGTGCATGCAGGAGAGAAGAAAAATTTGAGTGTTCTGTCCTGTGTTTGCTCTCAGGCCCTTCTGACCTGCAGAATACCACATCCACCCAGCTCTCCAGAGACACCAAGTAGCTGGCATCTTACTCCCACCGCTGACGCGGGCAGAGCAACCTAACTTTACACGGGAACAATGAGTTCCAATGACAGGCTTAATGCAGCTATTTCAGACAGATGAAAATTGAGGCTTAAGCAATTGTGCCAATATTCTCTTTAAATTATTCTGCAGAAAGAAATGTTCAAAAATTGTGACTCATTAAACGGTTTCAATAACATCATTAACAGAGGTAAAATTTGATGAGGCAAAATTAATAGCTTTGGCGTGCCGTAAGGAACGGTGGAAACTATAAGAGGTGATGGAAGTGGTGTTATTAATGCTAATAACAACCTCGCCATTAGTTAGTTTCCTGTCTTGTGCAATTTTAAACATCGATGTGCCTTTAAATGTCAACCTGAACGCACTGCGAGAAAAAGAATTCAGAGCGTATTGTATTAACTCCTGTAAACATATCTTGCAAATGGGGAAAAATGACAGAAAATGTTCAATTCCTGGTTTATATTGTTATTTCTTATTTTCTTCGATTTTTTTCCTCATGCAGATCTTTCTTTGATGTCAAAATGATTCATGAATTGACAGTCTTTTCAGTGAGAGACTCTGGAAGCTCAATATCAAAAGGATTAGGTACATATGGCTTGGGTTTCAAAACTCAAATACAAATGAGTTGGATTGTGTCATTGTAATTCCAGTGAAAACTCTGCTGCATAACAAAAGCCACTTTATAATAGAGTACACACCGTTCTGCCTTCCAGAAACTTTCCAGCTGAGAGCTCAGAAGAATCTGTGGTCATAAAATTGGGCTGAGAGATATTAGCATACCCTCCTGAGGCCTGGCAGTAGAAAAGCTGTGATGTAAGTAAAGATCCTCAAGAATAATCAAGCTGAAAAAGCCACATACTCATCCCTATCATATCCACTCAAGGGAGTACTGTTAGTTCTTTACATATGTGAGCTCTAAATATTACCGAAGTGCTACTTACATAAAGATAATCCCGTCTAGAGATATTAAATAAGGCCTGAGGAATACACTATAAATCAACACGTGAAACAGTGCTGGAGTGAAGCACCAAAGGAAAAAATGTCACCTTTCCTAATATTCACGGCTTGCAGCGTAAGATTTTTTCTTTAAGTCTTCAAGGGATAAGGTTTTAGGGAAAAAAAAGGAAAAAGGGATGCATTCTCAGAAGAAGTTGAGATCAGTAATAAGATTGTTACCTGGTTATTCTCTAGATCGATCACCTCTAGCAGATCATGTTCTTCCAAGCCTTCTAGACTGGTTATTTTATTGTTAGAAAGGTCCAGATTCCGTAGTGTTTTCAAGCTGTCCAACCCAGTTATCTTCTCAAGCAGGTTAGAGCTCTAAGAATAAAGGGAAGAATGTGGATTCTGATAAAGTTCTACAGATTGGAAACAACATTTCTGAGGAAGAAATGAGTTTGTTTATTATGGAGAATCCTATTACAAGCAGGTCTTACGTGCATTAGCCCCATCTTCATCTTGAGATGACATACTACAGCTTTCCATTCTGCTCAAGGAAAAAGGAATCAACTATCTTTGGACTAACTTACCTTCAACTTACCTTGAATAACAAATAGCAAGAGACAACATCAATAAAAGAGCTTGAGCATTCATTTAAAGCTGACACTGGCTAAAGGATACTCTTGCCAATATCAAACTCAAAATTTAGGAAATAGATATGCACATAAAAATATAGAATACATATACATACATGCATACAATTTCCCTCTGTAATGATGGTTATATTTACACTTATGATTACAGAATAAATAATGAAAATATGAAGGTAGAACAATACAATAGTCTTCTTTGGATTGCAGGCACTCTATAAAATACCTCTAGGATACACAAGTTCATTAATATATAATAAATGAATGCAGCCTATTTACTTTTGGTGATGGCATGCACAGAAATATTCCAGAAAAACACCATCTCTACTGTAAGTTCATCTAGACTCTAACAAGAGAAATGACCAAGCCTTTGAGAATTCATAACTGACTATTATTGTTTTACATTCCTTCCAAACAAGGTACAAGATAGAAGGCCTACATTAATCACTGGACACCAGATGGCTTCATTTCTCAGGGCCTCACAAATCATTTACTTGTTCCTGCTATGAACTCCAAATAGTTATAGCATGCTAGGTTCTGTACTCATCTTTGTCTCATTGGCCACATGTACCCAGATGGCCTCTCAACATGATTCTCTCCGAATAACCTTGCAAGTTTTATATTTTTCCATCAGCATCACCTTGTGCTGAAAGCTTCAAAGCCTCATATTCTATTAATAAATATTTAGGAACTATTGAAATAAATAAGCCAGCTGACTCTAATGTTAATCCAGTTGTCTGTCCTTGACATTTTTCCTGACTTTTAAATGTTTAATTAGGTTATTAATAGCATGGAAGCTCTCTCTTCCCTTCCTGTACTTCGTTAGACCTCTTTAATAAGATACAGCTCAGAGCTCTAGTTGCAAATGCTATGCAAGAGGTACACAAAATTTTGTGAACAAAAGGGATTTGTGCGGAGATCCTGTTTTGCTAAGCATAAAATTCCTAAGAGTCCAGTTCATTAAAGCTGCACTTGTTATTTTTGCAAACACAAGCAGAATAGAGGCTTTTTTGGTATAGCTAGGCAGTATTTACAGTTTCTGAAGTCTTTTCTTCCAAACTTCAGACCTTTACTACTCTTTCAACCTAGAAACCTCAAGGGAAAATAGAAAGGGAAAGCTGAATCAATGGGAGGAGAGGGGGATGACTGCTCCCATGAAAAAGAGGAACTGCATCTTATTCTAATTAGTAAAAGAAAACGCTATGCTAAAATCTGTCTATTTACATAATTTCCACATGACTATCTACTTTGCTAATTAAAAAAGACAAGCAGTTGGATAAATAATCATATCAGCATGTAAGAACCAAAACTGAAGAACATGTTCATATTAATAAGCCTTAGCTGTTAACACGATCTCCAAAGCATTTTACAAAGCAGATAACCATTACTAACAGAATTATTATTAGGCCTTTTAACAGATGAGGAAATCAAGGAGCACAATGGTTAAGTGGGTTCCTTTAGTTCTACTGAAGGAAGCATTTAGAGAAAAGATCTTCCCGGCAGCTTAGATTCTTATACTCTTCATTTCAGAACTTTCAGACAAGATTTTGCCAATCTGAGTTAATCTTATCCACCAAAATAAAATAAAAAATCAAATCAGTTTTATTCCCACTGAAGTCATTAGGAAGCTGAAATATAAAAGTATTAAAAATATGCTGCTGAACACTTTTGGAATGTATTATTTTAAAACATACTACTACCCACTTTTAAATGTGAATAGCTTTACAGAATATCGAAGTGGTGAGAGCTACAAGGGACAATCAGCATTGACGGGCACAGCCCTTACTTATGCCCTTCTACACCAATTACTACAGCACAGAAAAAAATCTTTAAAATTTTAAAAGGACTGAAAAGAACATTTCTATTCTTGAATAAGAGATTCATTCACTTTACCTAAAATATTTATGTAGGTGCTTAACACTAATGTAGCAAATATGAACGTATTTCTATGTATAGCTTTTTCACCCTCAGCTTCAAACTCCACTTAAATATTTTTAAATTACTGTTATAAAGTAAAACCTATTGAAATGGAGACTTGTATTTTTATGGCAACTCAACAGCATTAAAAATAGTTCTTGCCTGTAGTACTCTGCAACCTCTATACTGATAGCCCTTCCTATAAAGTCACTTGAAATGATTTAGAAGAAAGGGTTGGTATTATTAGGGATGTTTTACTAACATGGAACTGAGGAACACTGATAAATGCCTTCCCAAGGCCTGTAAAGGAGCAAGATGCACACAAACAAGCGTAGGCATTGATAAATAGAGGTCTGTACCGGGCTAGTTATCCTCAGCAATCTTCATAACTGAGAGAAACAGCCACTTCCAAGGCCTGATGCATCTTGTGTTAATGTTGATGTCAGCAGTTGGATCGGAATAGTGGAGTACCCTAAGTGTCCACTTCTCTCCACTGACTTATGAGGTGGCAGAGAATGAGCTCAAATGCCATGGTCTACACTAAAAAAATCTGAAGCCAGATGAGGTAACTGCCACTAAAAATCTAGAAATACACCTTAGAAATGTTGTACGTCAACAGATGCACCCTAGATATCAGATGACCCTCAGTGCTCCATCCTAACCCATAACATCCCTTAATTCTGTATTAACAAAAAATAAAAGTGTGTCCCACATTACACGTCTTTCAAAATTTGTTATGTAATTACCTTCAAGTTTATTAAGGCATAAATATATTGATAGAAGACTGACAGGAAAACAACAAGAAATATTTTCTTACCAGATTGAGGATTTTGAGAGGTAAATTCTCCAGGCCACCGATTGCAGTGAGTCTGTTATGTGACAAACTAAGATGAGTCAGGCTATGACACTTCTCCAGTCCTTTTATCTCCGCTATGTTGTTAACTATACAGGGGGTTTGGGATTCAAGGAAAAGAACTGGATGCAAAAATCTTCACGAGTTAGCAGCTGGTTAGACAGTGGGGCTGAAGTTCACGGTATGGGGAGCTCAACATCGAATGCTTCATGCTAAAGTGTTTCAGATCCCAGCTGCTCACACCTGGCCCTACTCTGAAGCACGCTGCCTCCTTGCCTGCATGACACAGCTTCCCGTGGGGCTGCAGGGTAAGTGACTTCACTGATCCAGCCAGAAATATCCCCCCCCTCCTTTTTGGTGGGTCTTTCAGCTCATTTTCTGTGACCTGGTTTGTAGCACAGCCTGGCATAACGGGGGAAGGAACTTCTGTCAGCATCTTGTGAAGCCACACTGCAAATCACCGGTCTTCTTATCAGATGCTCATGTGCAGGTAAGACAAAAGGGCCTTACACCTTTGACCCTTCAACTGGGCACCGGTCCTTGCAAGCCAGCTGTAGAATACAGGCAGATGGGTGAGCCATCAGAGGAGGGTTTGGCTTTTTTAGTTTGCAGAGTACTTAAATCAGTATGGCTCCAAACTCACCTGACATCCAACCATCATACACAAATTATCCAAGTAATAATGGACGCTTGTACTTGGTCGGGCTATTTCATGCTAAGTTACACTGGTGCTACACTGGCTGCCTGTACTGAAAGGGGAAATGTGTTTTAAATTAACAATAGAATCAAAGAGGGTTCCTCTCAAAGTCACCTTTAACACGGTCAGCTTTAATTTTTCAGATTCCTTAAAAAACCAAAAACACACAAAAACAAAAACAAAGCAAAAAACAGAAACAAAAAAACATATTTCCTTTGACAACAATCTCGGATTGCTCTTAGAACAGGATGAACTGCAGAGGCAGCTGTACATCCTTCTCCGCTGAACTCAGACAACTCAAATCAGGCACTTAATTATTTGGTGACTGAAGTTAGGCAAAAAGAACTGTACTCCTATTGTAAAAGTCCAAACTGAACTAGTTATATAAAACAACAAGAAATATAACTGAAGAAAAATAGCCAGAGCATGCAGGGGACAGAGAAATGCCTTCAGGCGATCACAGAAGAAACATTTTTAATTGACTTGAGATAATGAACTCTGCCTGCAAAACGAACGAGTTCTCATCACTTTTCTTATCAGGCAGTGGACAAGTTATCTGGGTTTTCTTCCTTCAGTCTGAATGATATCGGAAATCTAAATGAAATGTAAGCTTAGTCAGGGCCATATAATCCTCTTTAATAACTGTGACCTAACTCTTTTTTTTTTTCCTGTCTTCTTACATGGGAACTTAATTATACTCTTCCTCTTGTTCCACACTCACAAGCTGAGATGGGAAAGGAGAGGTGGAGAAATGAGCTGGTAAGCACAGATTTATCTTTTCAAAGGACCCTCACTCCAGGCTGTCTCCGACATTTAGGAAAGAAACCAAAGCCATCCACAGGCGTTGATAGTTGACAGATATTCAGCGATCTGCATGCAGAATGGGACTGCTCCTCTTTCAACTGAGGAGGAAAAAATTGGGTGAGCAATGAATTTGGGTCAGTATGAATGAGATCAACAAATCATGTACTGCCAGTAAACACAAGCACCAGCCTGTTTTGAGACAAAGAGCTTTAAGCCACAAGCATCAATATGAGGCAGCAAATTGCCCGGCACTAAGAACGAATATAATCAGTTTTATTCTTCTAACAGCCCGCTATAATGCCTTGTAAGCTATTATTGCCCAAGCTGTCTCCCTCTCTGGTTTGGGCAGCTACCTCCTTGAAAACTCATTTATAATCTTGTCAGGTGTGCTTGTACGAGCACCTGTCAGAAAGAAAGTTGCAATGACCTTACCATCTGCATTGTAATTAATTTAAATATG